TTTAGCGAGCTAAGACTACAGCTGTATTTCTGATGGTCTTTGCGTGAATTTTGACACCACCTACCCTTGAATACAGCCTCAAGCAAATCAGGCCTCCAGGAGTCTTCCCTCTTCTTTCCTGAACCTTCTAGATCTGTGCTGAACTCAAGGTCTGAAACTGGCTTTCCACCTTTCCGTGGAAAAGCCCACAGCATATCTGAGAGATCTGAGACTGAAATTGGATTATGTCGGGGGTTCCTCATCCTGCCACCTCCTGGAGGATCCCATAGCAAATAATGCTTGTGATGACAGTGTTGTTTCTGTCTGCTAAGTATCTTTTTTTGTTCTTAAGATTTATTTATTTATTATTTTAGAAGGGGGGGGGCAGAAGGAGAGAGAGAGAATCTCAAGCAGACTCCCCGCTGAGCACGGAGCCCTACGTGGGGCTCGATGCAAGGCTCCATCTCATGACCCTGAGATCATGACCTGAGCTGAAATCAAGAGTCAGAAGCTTAACCGACTGAGCCACCCAGGCGCCCCTGTCTGCTAAGTATCTCTATCAGCACGTTACTTTCCCTTTGTGGATCCTTCTCCACTACTCCAACATAACACAGTCCCCCAGTATCACTCAGTCTAAACGCACCAATCAGAGAACCCCATCTCCTGGCCGTAATAATTAGGTTGGAGGACATGATGTTGGAGGGTCTCATTCTTCCTTTCGGATCATAAGCTGTATATAGGCCCTCATCCTACCTGCAGCCCCCTTCCCCAGTTGTCAGGAAGACAGTCTGCATGCCTGAAGACTGGAGCCAATCTACACCAGGATGTATAGGTGAGAGTTGAAGAGAAAGTTTTGTCTATGTTGGCTGAGCTCCTGGATATAGCCATACCTGAGGCCAAAAGCCCTCATTCTTTCTAATACCATGAGCCAACACATTTCCTGGGCATTGGGCTGGTTTTTAGTGGGTTTCTGTCCCTTGAATCGATGACAGTCTTGACTGACTAATTTAGAATTAGTACCTGGAAAAGGAAGGGTATTGTGGGAAGTAACCTAAAATGTGGAACTGGCAGAGCAAAGTGAGGTAGAGGGGCAGGGCCACCACAGACACATATTCACTATAAAGTGAATGGGACTCCCTAGATTTATGCAGTGCATACAGTCTGCCCTGAGAAGAGCCTTCCTCAAGAAACAAGAAATTTCTGTTATGTGGCAGAAAAATAAGCTGATTAAAATCTTGCTTCCTGGGGCGCCTGGGTGGCTCAGTCGTTAAGCGTCTGCCTTTGGCTCAGGTCATGATCCCGGGGTCCTTGGATCAAGCCCCGCTCGGGCTCCCTGCTCCACGGGAAGCCTGCTTCTCCCTCTCCCACCCCTGCTGCTTGTATTCCCTCTCTTGCTGTCTCTCTCTCTGTCAAATAAATAAATAAAAACCTTAAAAAAAAAAAATCTTGCCTCCTTGGGGGTGCCTGGGTGGCTCTGTCAGTTAAAGCATCCAACTCTTAGTTTTGGCTCAGGCTGTGATCTCAGGGTCCTGAGATGGAGCCCTACATCGGGCTCCGCGCTCAGCATGGAGTCTGCTTGTCCCTCTCCCTCTGCTCCTCCCCCTTCTCTCTCTCTCTTTCGAATAAATAAAATCTTTAAAAAAAAAAAACCTTGCCTATTTTATCTTGGGACTCTAACCACGTGTTTCTTGAGACTGTGGTTGGAGGGGCTTTGGAGAAAAATGGCAGGATGTTGAAATATTTGGGCGCCTTCATCAACGTCTCCCCAGACAGACGCAAGCTGCCTCTACATCTTGCAGCAGAGACTGGCATCTGCTTGATTTTGTGATTGCCTGAGCTGAATTCTCCGCCCCAAGCTAAAAGAGGAAATTAGTAATGAGGTGGGAGATAAGACTGGGATTATTGGAGAACCAGGGGGCACTCGATGCCCCAGGCTACTCTGTAAAACGGAACAGTCCCTGTCTATAAACATACAATTACCCTCCATTGGGAAGAGCCTATTAGCTATCTTTCCACCCTCCAGATTGTAACCTGGGGCAATAGAGATGCTAAGGGGATGGGCAGGCACAGATCTGTTGCTAGGAGACAGGGTCCAGCAAAGTTGGGCTCCAGGATCAAAGATCCTGGTGAGGTCTGGGGAACCAAATAACCCAGGGGTGGGCTTGTGAGCTGGGCCATCCAATCATAGCATTCTATCCCTTTGGGCACAATGATTGGCTCATGGCTGGGCATGTGACTCAAATGGGCCAATTAGAGTGTCCTTTAAGTTCCAATAAGAGGAGTTGGGGCAAGACCCTCTCCTTCTTCCTTTGAGGCTTTAATGAAGAGGATTTGGATTGCCAGCATCTTTTTTTTTTTTTTTTGGCCACCGCTTGGAGGGACACAGGATTGCGAGGTGGTGAGGTAGATTCCAGATTTTCTTATTTCTAAGTTATAAAAAACAGAATTCATCCAAATAAATTTGAAGATCTAATTGGCTTTATTAAATGGCTCATGGGGGTGCCTGGGTGGCTCAGTTGGTTAAGCATCTGCCTTCGGCTCAGTTCATGATCCTGGGATCAAGTCCAACAATGGGCTCCCTGCTCAGCGGGGAGCCTGCTTCTCCTTCTCCCTCTGCCCCTACCCCACCCCACCCCCGTGCTCACTCGCTTGCACGCTCTCTATCAAATAAATAAAATCTTAAAAAGATTTATGAATCAGGTGGCATCCCTTCTAACACATAGAGGGGCACTCTGAGGAGTTGTACAAATTGGAAGGTTTTTACAGGAAGGGGGTTAGGGCAAGAAAATTATAGGCAAAAGAAAAGAATTGTTCCAGGCAAAGTCACTTTCCCTTAGGGGAAGGGTAGGGGATCTTATTAGGTGGATTACCTCACCTTCTGTCCATGAAGAAGGCCCGTGTGACAGATTACCTTATTGGTGCTTATCAAAAAATTCCCAATTGGTAGATTAAGACATATTTCTGAGGGAGGTTGAAACTGCAATTAGGTTAGGTATTAACCCTTGGTTTGGTGACTTAGCCTGGCCCAAGTAACACCGTTTGGGGTCTGCGGTTTTCTTTGTAACAAAGTCAATAAAAATCCCTTTCTACTTGAGCTAGAGCGAGCCAGGTTTCCATCACTTGCAACAAAAATGACCTAAGACATTAAAAAAATAGGGGCACATGTCATCAAGCTGCAGCCAAATGCTAGGTTCTAAGAATGGCACATGTGCATTTTAGTTAAACCTTATACCCACTTTATGAAGGAAGAACTGTTGCCAGCCCCGTTTTATGCACAAGGAAAGAGGGGCAGATCATGACATCACTTGCCTAAGGACAGAAAGACAGGGAAGTGGCAGGTCTGAATTCTGCTGCTCCATGATGTTTTCCTTTAAAAATTAATCTGTTCTCCCATGTGCAATCCTACTTTATTCATCTTGGTCTATAAGCCTTTTGGGTTTTTGTAGTTGATATGAAATGCCTTTTTTGGTGTGGGGAAGGGTGAGTGGAATATAGGGAGGGATAGACATAAATCCATAAAATACATCCCAAATCATGATGAAGTATCTTTCTGCACTAAAAATATTTCTAGTAAAGCTCCTGTTCTTTCCTAGCAACCATCCCGGGGCTAGTCAGTTCCACTGTTAGAAATCTTTCAATTTGTGCAGAAATCTGCCTCCTTGGAACTCCTACCTATTATTTTTCATCCGGTGTCTGGGTTGCTTTAAACCATTCATAGAACCAGGCAGGAGCACACATTTTCCTGCAACCAGAGCTACATGGAAATGAATACCAAAGTAAGCTTTCTGAGCTTCCTGGCAGGCAAGGCAAAAAGGAAAAGCCTTTTAGTTAAGAGTAGTCTGATCAACAAACAGACCAGCTTCACCAGGAGAGTCTGATTTTGTCCTGGGGATCACTGCAGGATGGGTTTATTGCAGTGGTTCTCAAGCAGGGCAAACCCCCCCCCCCCCCCCCCCCCCCCGCCCCGCGGCCCAGGGGACATTTGGCAATGCCTGGAGATATTTTTGGTTGTCACAACTGGCTGGGGTAAAGGGAGGATGCTATTGGCATATGGTGATTAGAGGTCAGGGATGATGCTAAACATCCTACAGTGCACAGGAGGGCCTCTGACAATAAAGAATGATCCCATCCAAAATGTCAATAGTACTGGGATTGAGAAATCCTGAGTCATCATGAGGTAATTCAGAAGTGTGTCATGTAGATCTTTAGCGGAAGCAAACAGAAGAGGTGTTTTGCAGCTAGCAGACCCTTGCATAGATAATAGGAGAGCAGCCAAAAGGGCCATCTTATTCTGTGGGACCCAAAGCTGGACTCCTGTTCTTCCTGTGACAACCTAGCTCCACACCAACTGTGGCTGGTGATATAAAGGTGTCATTGAGCTGACCCTGACACTAACTACCCTGGAGGTGAGCTAGGAAATGACAACCTGGCCTCACAGAATTGCTGCCCATGGGGAAAGGGCTCCTGGCCTGGCTTGAGCTTGGCTTTTGGTGGCTCAAGAGGCCTTGGTCTTTGAAGGTCTGATTACAGAGTCAGGGATAGAGTCAGGGAGCCATGTTCATTCCCTGAAACCAGATTCCCAACAGCCGAAAGAAGCAGGCCCTGGGCATGGCCGCTGAGGCCCATTTCATCGTGGACAGAGCCAATCTCACCACACCCAGACCTTCAAGATGGGGGCGCTGTCCAAGGTACCGTTTGTTGACATGCTTGTCAAGCCCCATCAGTGATGGAGCTCCACCCCATCCTCCTCCTTTCCACCCTTTTCATTTCGTCCCTGGCTGGACACCTCCTCCCTTGGACTTGATCATATCATGATGGCTTTTGTTGATTTGTCCCTGGACCCAGCTCTGACCAGTTGCCCAGCCAGCCAGCACACCGTTGAGCTTCCAGCTTTCACCCACAATGGAGGAAATTGCTGGGTCACTCTCAGCCTCTCCACCCCCTCAGTCTCCCCCCTCTGAACCCCACCCCCTCTCTCAATGATTGAAAGCTCCTTCCCATACCCTCATCTTCCTCTTTCCTCCATACCTTCATGCTGAGAAGGGAAGTGCTCTCTCCCTCCTTGACCCCCAGCCACACACACTGAAGTGTGTACATTTCTCATTTATAACATTCTAATGAGAGAGCTACCATTCATCTCCACTTTACAGATGAGCAAACAGATGAGGCTCAGAGGGGCTAAGTGCCTTGCCCAAGACTACTACCCAGGACAGAGGAATTAAGATTTGGACTCTGTCCATTCAGCCCTAGGAATCTGTTCTCAGCCCTTCACTACACTGCCCTGTTCAAAGCTATGACTCCTCTCTTCACATCATTCAGATTTGTTGGTGCACCTGAACACCTTACACTGAGTCCAACAGCCAAGCCTTTGCACAAGCTGGGATGGCCTCCTTGCCCAGAGCGGGGCGATCTTCAGGGCCCGTGGAAGTGTCTGTTCAGGGTTATTTGATGGAGTCACTCTCTCCTGTACCGTCCCCAACCCACGAAGCATCCTCTTTCATGGCTGACTGATGGAGGGTGGGGTGGGATGCTGCCAAGACACTGTTTATTGCTGGCTAGGGCATGGGTAGGTGGGGGCCTGGGGGGCCCAAGGGTCTACCTTCCCAGCCCCACAGCCCCACTGGCGAGGGGAGCCCAGAGGCACATGGCTGTCCTGCAGATTGACCAATCTCAGCACTGCTGGGCCCTGGTACTTGGAGGGAAACTCATGCTCGTATTGGGTTGAGAAGAAGCGCTGTCCACCCAGCGGGGGCTCAATGTGGCCATACTTACACTGTGGAGGCAGGGTGGTCAGCGTGGCAGGACAGCCTGGAGGCTGGTGGACCTACCTGGCCCACCCCGTGGCCCCCATACGACCTGGGAGCAGCAAAGGCTGATGACTGGGCTCTGAGGAGGTGGGCAAAAGGTACCCCAGCTTGGGCTGACCCAGGAGCTGGAGAGAAACCAGTGACCCCTGGAATGACCCCCGGACTGTGGTGACCCAGGCAACTGTGAGCTAACCCTCAGCTGGGGGTATAACTGTGGCTGGTGATATAAAGGTGTCATTGAGCTGACCCTGACACTAACTACCCTGGAGGTGAGCTAGGGATGACCTTGAGGCTGGGGTGACATTAAGATGACCCTGTGCCTGGGGTCACCCTAGAGAGACCCTGAAAGGACTTGATACTAATTCTGGGCCTGAGGTGACGACATTATCATCCTGAGATAAAGCTACACTGATTTTGGGGGTTACCTGGTCAGGGAGGTACCCTTCCCCGTCCCTCACCCGCTGTAGCATGTCCTCAGTCACGGAGGCCGGAGCTGTTCTATGAGGCTTCAGCATCTTCTGGTTCGTGGTTAAAAAATCTGTTTCTGGAGATTTGGGGTGGGGGTAGTCGAGCTGAGGGGCTGAGGGAGGAGAGGCATGGTCCCTGGGCAGGAACGTGAGAGATTAAGGATGGAGTAGGACTTCAGGGCGAAGCCCTCGCCCTCGCTGAAGTTGGAGCGAAGATGGATTAGGAGGCGGGGCGGAGGAGGAGCCAGGGGCGTGGCAAGCGCAGACTAGTGAGGGGGCAGGCAGGGCGGGCTAGTCGGTGAGGGGGCGGAGCCAGAGTCTGACAGAGGAGCAGGGGTTAGAGTCGGGAGACGGCAGATATGGAGAGGGGCGGGCCTACGGCCATGCAGGCGGCAGTGCCGTGACGGAGACGGTGGTGGTGGTGGGGAGTCAAGTCCACGAAGGGGCGGGTTGTCCAGGGTCAGAGTTGGGATCTCGGTCACTGGGAAGGGATCTCGCTCTTCAGGAGGCGGAGCCAGAATCGGGCAGTGGGCGGGGCGAATCTGGCCGGGGCGGGGTTAGAGCTGAGGCCGGGAAGGGAGCCCTGCCCCTTCCCCCCAACCTGCTCACCGTCGGTGCCCCGGGGCAGGTTGCTACGCAGCAAGTGGAGACTGGGCGCTTTCTGCGGCTTCTCTGGCGTCCCACGGGGGCAATAGTCCGTGCCCGTGGAGGTCTGGAAGAACTGTTCGAGCAGTGAGGAGTCCCCTAGACGCACGTGACTCTTCCATTTCTCGTAAGGCACGTGGCGGCTGGGTGGTTCGGTCACGGGCGGTGGCTGTAAGACCACATGGCCTCTGGGAAGCTCCCGTGTCCGGGATCTCCCAAAACCCGGGTGGAGACGAGAGGCGAGCGCTCTACGACCTTGGAGAGCTCACACCCTCTCTAGGCCCACGTTGCTGGTGCTGGGAGTAGGCACTGTATCTCATTTTGCAGACAGAGCCACCGAGGCTCCCAGTGGTTAAGGGACTTAACCCTAGATACTGCAGATAGACCCAGGAGATCCCCCACACGTCACACTCGCTCCCACCTCAAGGACTTTGCACTTGCTATAGGTACTGCCTGGGAAACCCTTTCCCTGATGAGCCCCGGGGGAAGGTCTCCCCCTTCCGGCTGACCTGACCATGGAAGAAATGCATGGAGGTGGTGAGGCTGCCTGGACCAGGGCACCAGTTTCCTTCCAGGATGTGCGATGCTGGAGTCTGGTCATGGTGAAGGACAAAAGGCTCTGCCAGTGGCAGAGCAGAGGTTGAGCAGACCCGCGAGGCCCCTGTAGGAAGTTGGGGGGGGGGGGGTTGGAGGAGGGGGGAGGGGTGGGCAGGGCCGGCAGTAGACTCACCTGGCTCTGGGGCATAGAAATGATCAGCTTTGGTGGTCCTGTCATGGAACAGGCCATCTCCAGGACGAATATTCACATAGTGGATGTGGGCTGCGGCCTGGGCCTTGTCATACCTGCAGATCAGGGGGATTCGTCTGATCCGGGCCCTTGCAACTCCCGGGAAATGGGAGAGAGGCCGGCTTCCCAAAGGCCAAGCTGTGGGGGTGCTAATGGTGGGAGAGCCTTGCTTGTAGGATGGAGGCTTCAAAGGCACAGTATCAGCCCCAGAGCCTTGGATGGCACGCTCCACGAGTCGCTGAGAGCCCGTCACCCTGGTGGAAGGCCACCGTCCCTTTGTACCTGTCTGGGGGCAGACCCTGGGGCCTGTAGGCTTGCTTCTGCTCCGAACACATGGGCCCATGGCCAATCTTGAAGTCTCCCAGTTCCACGCTGGAGAAGGCCTGTGGGCGGACAGAGGTGGGAAGGACAACCCCACCCAGACCCTATCGCTGCCCTCCCCCACAGCACCAGCCCCACCTCGATTTACCCTCTTACACATCAAGGCCGGTGCGCTCGGCAGGGCCTGGAAGTGCCTCTGGTAGGAGGTCCCATCATCCTGTCTCCTGTGGTCCCATCTGAGGGGGTTGAGACCCCCTGAGGATGAGCAAGAACAGACAGAGAAGGGCACTGAGCCCCTGCAGCCTCAGGCCCACTGGGATGCAAGTCCTCACCTGGAAAGGGGAGCTGGGCAGTCCTGACTAGCCTTGCCTGAGGGCTATGTGGAAAACACCAAAAAATAACACAAGGAATGATAACAAGAATAACTGCCAAGTATTGAACCCAGCATCTAGGTTAAATGCTTTGAACCTCATTTGCAGGGTTCATAATTCTCCCCACTTTACAGCCTTCCTGAGGCTCAGAGAGGCCAAATGACTTGCCAGAAGTCACGGAAATTCAAAACCAGAACAGAGTCAAGTCCAGATCTGACAATCCCTGAGTCCAGCGTGGAGGGACTCTGACTAGTGACATGCACCAGCGGGTCCCCTGGAGTCACAGAATCGGAAAATCACAAACGACAGCTACTCTTTTTTGAGCTCTCACTCGATGCAAGGTGCATCATACACTCTGGGCTCCTTTGGCTTCAGCAGCTCCTATGAAGTGGGGCGCTCTTGTTGCACCGAGGAAAATCCAGGCTTGGAGAGGTCAACTTGCTCAGAGTCACATAACTACTATGGTGGCAGGGCTGGGGTGGCAACTTAGCAGATTTGTCTGATTCCAAACCACCATTCATGACTTCTACCCATGGCGCAGCCCCTTGAAAAAAATTCAGGAGCTATGTCATTCTGTGTTTATAGAAACTGAGGCTCAGGGAGGTTCCTGGTTTTCTCAGCCCGGCACTGTTGACATTTGGGGCTGGATAATTCTTTACCGGGGCGAGCTGTCCTGTGCATGGTAGGATGTTTAGCAGCATCCCTGGCCTCCCTTCATTCCCCGCTAGTAGCACCCCCTCCGTGGGTGATGACAACCAAAATGGTCTCCAGGGGCGCCAGGGTGGCTCAGTTGGTTAAGCAGCTGCCTTCGGCTCAGGTCATGAGCCTAGGGTCCTGGGATGGAGTCCCACATGGGGTTCCCTGCTCATGCGCACAGGGAAGAGTCTGCTTCTCCCTCTCCCTTTGCCCCTTCCCCCTGCTCATGCGCGCGCTCTCTCTATTTTTTTAAAAGATTTTATTTATTTGACAGAGAGAGACAACGAGAGAGGGAACACAAGCAGAGGGAGTGGGAGAGGGAGAAGCAGGCTTCCCGCCGAGCAGGGAGCCCGATGCGGGGCTTGATCCCAGGACTCTGGGATCACGACCTGAGCGGAAGGCAGACGCTTAACGACTGAGCCACCCAGGCGCCCCTATCTCTCTTTAATAAATAAATAAAATCTTAAAAAAAAAAAAAAAAAAAGATCTCCAGACGTAGCCAAATGTCCCCTGGGGGAGGGCGCGGAATCCCCGCCCGCCTGGAGAACCACGCGGTTGGCCAGTCGCGCGGGCCGCCCCGGCGCGCTCACCGAGGTGGCAGCAGGGCGCGCGGGACCGTGGGCACGGGTCGTGGGGGGCGTAAAACGCCTGGTAGGTGGTGGGCGGGATGCGCAGCTTGGCTCTGTCGCCAGGCGGCACCGAGTCGCGGTCGAAGATGAGCCGCGCGCCGCGGATCTGCTCGCTCGCGCGCGCCGGCGGCTCGGGCCAGCCGAAGTCGGCGCGCACGGTGGAGAGGCCGGTGCGGACGCGCGGGCCCGCGTGCACGCGCAAGCCGCTGGCCTGCGCGGCGAGGGGGCGCTCCCGCGTCTCCGACCGCGCGGACGGCGACGGCCCCGGGGGCGCGTACGCACAGTGCGTCTCCGACCCGAGCTCTGTGCCCGCCGAGCGCGTGTCCTGGGCGAAGAGGGACCCGCGGGGCGGCTCCTGGCACTGCGGTGCGCGGGTGCCTCCCGGGTGCGCCCCGAAGTCCCGATGCGACGTGGATTGCATGGCGCCCATGTGCAGCCGCGGGTCGGGCCCCAGTGCAAAGTGCGAGGCCTTGAGGAAGTCCCGCCCGGACAGCGGGCACGGCAGCAGGGCGACCGCGACCATCGGGGGACAAGGCGCCACCTGTGAGGGGGCGGAGACACGGGAGTGAGCAAGCGCCGCCTGAGGACAATGCTGCCTTTTACTCCTTCCTGTGTTCCAGGCACGGGGCCCTCGGGGCTGGGGACATTGTGAAAAAACAGGCGCAGCCCTCGTGCCTGCCCCCAGGGAAAGTAGAGATATCATCATTCATTTGACGCTTACTGTGTGCCAGGCACTGTGCTAGGTTCTTGGAAGGGGGAACATCAGATAACAAAACAGACCAAGAGCCGTGCCCTTGTGGAGTTAATACTGGGGCGAGGAGGTGACAGACAATACTGAATAAATGTACTACTATCATTTGCAGAGTTAGGAGAAGGAGCTAAGTGCTGTGGGTAAAACCATCACACAGGGAAGGAGGACGGGGGTGGGGGGGTGGGATGGAAGGGTTGCAGTTTTAAATAGGGTAGTGTCACCGAGAAGACAAAGACCTGAAAAAGGTGGGAGAGGAGCTTTTGGGTACCTAGGGGAATAGCATCCCAGGCAGAAGGAACAGCAGGTGCCAAGGCCCCTCCCAGAGGGGGTCAGTACAGAGTGAGCACCAGGAAGGGCTGCAGAATGAACCCTTGCTTTCTACAGTTTGTCTGATAGGAGCCCCCTCTCCTCACCCTCAGTCAGTGGTCAAGGCCATGGCTCTCCCCTCCAGTGTCTGCTCAGTCCTGGCCATGTCCCATCTCTGCCACACCCCTCCTCATGGGGCTTTCTGCCCTCTGCAGTTGTTCTCTTGGATCTCTTCCTATCCTCAAACTCTCTGAGGCTTAGCAACCTCTCACTCCACCTCCCTGATCTCCAGCGCCCGGCTGCCAGCACCCCAATTAGCTGACTGGGACTTTCTTGCCTTTGCTCAGAGCGGAGGAGTCTCGTCCCCCTCGTCCCAGCCACTCAGAGACCAAGCCCCCCTGGAGCAGGCTCACCCCCGCCGCCCAGACCACATCAGCTCACAGCTAGCTCATGTCGACCTCTTTAGAAAGCAGGCAGCAAGCATGATAACAAGACCACAGTTTGTCAGTGTCTATGTTTGCTTTTTTGATCATTTTGGCACCGAAAAGAGTTGAGAGTGGAGAAGTCTTCAAATAGTTGATGGAGAATCTGACAACTGAAGTTACTAGCTAGGTCACCTCGGAATAAGTAATTGGGCTCTGTGAGCTTCAGCTTCCACATCAGGGATGAGGGTATTGTACTTACCTCAAGGGGTGGCATGGGGACTAATGAGTCTTAGAAGATGCACTTGGCAACCGGCCTGACCCTCGAGGCTCCCTCTGTCCCCAGTCTCCCAGAGGATGCTCACATGTTCCTTCCAAGGCTGCATCCCAGTGTGGTCCAGCTCTGCCCATTGTGACCAAAGAGCTTCCCCCAGACGGTGCTGTCACAATGGTCCCCCAGCTACTCTGAGGGTGGCTGGGAGGAAGATCAGGAGTTAGGCCAAAGGATCCTGCCTTCTGAGAGCTCAAGAGAGCTTGGCAAGTGCCTTGACTTCTTTTTTTTTCTTTTTAATTTTATTTATTTATTTGACAGAGAGAGACACAGCGAGAGAGGGAACACAAGCAGGGGGAGTGGGAGAGGGAGAAGCAGGCTTCCCGCTGAGCAGGGAGCCTGATGTGGGGCTCGATCCCAGGACCCTGAGATCATGACCTGAGCCGAAGGCAGACGCTTAACGACTGAGCCACCCAGGCGCCCCAAGTGACTTGACTTCTTGAAGCCTCTGTTTTGTCATCTGGGAAATGGGGCTGAGGATGGTAACCACTTCAGAAAGCAGCAGTGAGGATTTGAGGCAATAGGCTGCTGGTATTCATTACTGTCATTTCCCAAAGTTTTCCTGCTGGTCTGCTTCCTAACGCTCCCCACACAGGATGAGCCAGCGTCTTTGGTCTTTGGGTCACTGCAATGCTTAATGTCATTCCAGGGCTCAGGGACCTCCAAGGTACCCTTAAGGATGTCAGCGCCCCCCCAAGCCCAAAGACCATCAGGAACACATTTGTGGCTGAACAAATTCAAGCTTGTTACTTGTGATGGCAAGGGAGAGCACACTCCCTGGGACGCTGTGGGTGTGAGACAGGCTTGTCTTCACTCTGGCTTGTCTTCCGTGCTTCCGGGGAGGTTCAAGGAAGTGGGTCTTTGCTTCGCATGCTCTTACTGGGTGGGAAATCTGACTTTCCTTTTTGAGATGATCCGACATGAAAATAATACATAAAATAATATGAATGGGGGAAAGGGGGAGTCAGTCTTTCATGGGGACAGAGTTTAGGCTTGGGAAGATGAAAAGTTCTGGAGAAGGAGGGTGGCATGGTTGCACAACAATGTGAATGTGCTTCCTGCCACTGAGCTGTGCATTTAAAAATAGTTATCATGGGGGCGCCTGGGTGGCTCAGTCGTTAAGAATCTGCCTTCGGCTCAGGTCATGATCCCAGGGTCCTGGGATCGAGCCCCGCATTGGGCTCCCTGCTCCGCGGGAAGCCTGCTTCTCCCTTTCCCACTCCCCCTGCTTGTGTTCCCTCTCTCACTGTGTCTCTCTCTGTCAAATAAGTAAATAAAATCTTAAAAAAATAAATAAATAAAAATAGTTATCATGGTAAATTTTGTTATGTATATTTTATCACAATAAATAACTTTTTTTTAATTTTTTCTTTTTTTATTTTTTACTTCTTTTTTTTTTTTAAGATTTTATTTATTTATTTGAGAGAGAGAGAATGAGAGACAGCACAAGAGGGAAGAGGGCAGAGGGAGAAGCAGACCCCCTGCTGAGCAGGGAGCCCGATGCCGGACTCGATCCCAGGACTCCAGGATCATGATCTGAGCCGAAGGCAGTCGCTTAACCAACTGAGCCACCCAGGTGCCCTATTTTTTTTTCTTTTTTAAAGATTTCATTTATTTATTTGACAGGGAGAGACACAGCAAGAGAGGGAACACAGGCAGGGGGAGTGGGAGAGGGAGAAGCAGGCCCCCCATGGAGCAGGGAGCCCGACGTGGGGCTCGATCCCAGGACCCTGGGACCATGACCTCAGCCAAAGGCAGACGCTCAACCAACTGAGCCATCCAGGCGCCCAATAAATAACTTTTTAAATGGAAAAACAATTTCTTAAAAAAAGAAAGTGAACTAAAGATACAAGGGCCCCAGTTCATGACCCCAAATCAGCTACAAAATGGGTCCTTTTTCTTCCTTCCTTCCTTCGTTCCTTCGTTCCTTCGTTCCTTCCTACCTTCCTTCCTTCCTTCCTTCTCTCTCTCTCTCTCATTGAACTATAATTGACACATAACATTGCCTGTGTTTGAGATTCACAACATATTGATTGGATACATTTATATTGCAATACAACTGTCATTGTAACATTAGCTAATACCTCTCCAGGACTTATTTAACTGAGTGGGTTTCTTCTCACTAAATTCAAGCAAATTGTTGTTTTGTCCATCGGGTTGAGGTCCCATCACTGGCTCCCCTGCCTGGAGCCTGACTGAGGGCTTTGGCCCAGCCAGGTTGTTGCAAATACACATTTCAGCCTAGTTCTTCTGCCTGCTGGGAAAAGAAGGACCCAGGAGGTGGATCCTGGATGCTGTCGGGAAGCAAAGGGGGAGAGGTAATTTTCTTATTGAGGGTCTTAGTTTTTATCAGAAAGTCTAAGGAATGAAGCAAGAGTAAAGCTGTCAGTGGTAAAAGGACTGTAACTCAGACTATCCAGGAAAAGTGAATGTCTGGTTGCTGCTGTGGTTTGGACAATGCTCATGTTTTGCCTGCATTCAGACATGATCATGGAGTAAGCTTGTTTTGTCTTGTTCCACCATGGTCACGGAGTGGCCTTGTCCATTGTTGGCATTCTGCAAAATTATTTATGTCCCACAGGAGAACACCAGGGCTTAGCTGGGACCGCCAGGCCAGCTCCTAGCAACTCCAAGGCCAGCTGTGAATGCCAGGCTATCTCCTGTCTCTCTCAAAGGTCAAGCTCAGCCCTAACCAGATGGTGGAAGACGCTGGGAGGGGTCTCTCTCAAAGGTCAAGCTCAGCCCTAACCAGATGGTGGAAGACGCTGGGAGGGCTGGGCAGGGCTTGCAAGACTCACTGCTGTCTGCTTGGTGCCTGGCACAGGGCCTGGCTCTCAGTAGTCACTCAGAGAAGTGCACTGTGTGATTACGAAGGTGTCAGGGACAGCATGGGCTCCAGGGAAGGGACCTAGCCACTCAGGCAGCAGCAAGGTCTACAGCCCCAGACCCTCTTCCCTCTGCAGGCCTTGGGCTTGGCATGGATTTTTTTTCTTCTGCAGTAACAGTGTCCCTAGTTGGGGGGTGGGGGCGTACAGATGCCTGTGCCCAAGTCTTAAGCAAGGAGGCCTGTGGTCAGATGTGGGGGTCAAAGAGTCTCTTGACTCCCCATCTGAGATGTTGTAGGGAGGCAGACTTGGGGGAGGCGGGGCTTGGGGTCCAGGGCTTGGAGAGAGGAGGGGGGCTGCCTGTGAAAGGGGCTGTTGGCCAGGAGCAAGTGGATGGATTCAAGTGTCATTTTGGTGACTGTTGGGATGTGGGAGGGGCGTGTGTGGAGAGAAAAAGGTGAGCCAGGTCTGTGACTGGTGGGGCAGCCCTGAGATGGGGACACATGAGAGCAAGATGTTCCGGATGATGCTGGGACATGTTGAGTGTGGGGATGGGGTTGGGAGGATGCTCAGGGAAAGTGTCCAGGGGGCAGGTGGGAGCAGGAGTCAGGTCAGGATTAAAGAGGCATGCGGGAGAGGCCAATGATGAGGGGACCAGGGAAGTCGTGGGAGTAGATGAGGTTTCCCAGGATCATGTGCATAGAGTGTGAGCACAGAGCTTTGGGCCGGGAGCTGAGCCCCGAAGGTTATGGCACTTATTGAGAAACTATTTTGTGCCAGGCTGTGGGGACATAGCTATGACCAAGACAGATCAAAGTCCTCACATTCTGTTGAGAGATACGTAACTAGGCAGCTAGATAAAGAAGCGATATAGTTACGTTAGATAGTATTCCAAACTTAGGAGGAAAATAAGACAGCAAGAAATGTGGGTAGGAAGTGCCCAGGAGGGTGTGATGGGGAGGTCCAATGAGAAGATGATGTTCGAGTAAACGTGAGGAGGACGTGAGGGAGGGGGCCGTGTGGGAATCTGGAGGGAGAGCATTCCAGGCAGAGGGCACAACCAATGCAAAGGCCCTGGGGCAGGAGTGTACTGTAACTTCAAGGACCAGGAGGAAGGCAATGTGGTTGGAAAGAAGGGAGCGAGGCAGGAAGAGTCCTGAAAGTTGAAATCAAGGGGCAATATTTTGCAAAAGGCAACCAGTCGACATCATGAGTCATTAGGGAAATACAAAACAAAGCTATAGTGAGATACCATGTCCCACCCAGCAGGATGGCCATAATAATAAGGCAATAATAATAGTAATGAAGCAAAATAAAAGTGTTGGCAAGAATGTGGAGAGTGTTGTGCATTGCTCCTGGGGATGTCAAGTGGTGCAGCGAACGTGGAAAACAGTCTGGTGGTTCCTCGAAGTCAAACAGAGAGCCACCCTATGATCCAGCCATTCCACTCCTGGGTGTCTACCCAAAGGAAGTGAAGTTGAAGGCAGGGACTTGAACAGAGACACACATGCCCACGTTCACAGCAACATTATTCACAGTCGCCAAAATTTGGAAACAACCCAATGGTCCATCAGTGGCTGAATGGATAAACAAAATGTGGTAGATCCATACAAGGGACTATTACGCAGCCACAAAAGGAATGGAGTATAGATATAAGCTACAATGTGGATGAGCCAGACACAAATGGTCACATATCGCATTATTCCGCTTATATGAAATATCCAGAATGGGTAAGCCCACCAAGACAAAGCAGATGGTGGTTATGGGCTGGGGTAGGGAGGGATAGATTAACTGCTTGCCAGAATTACAGGGTCTCCTCTGAGGGTGATGAAAATGTTTTGAAGCTTAAAAGGGATAGTGTTGTAAATGCCACTGCATTGTACATCTTAACACAGTGACTCTTATGTGAATGTTACCACAATTAAAAAAAAAAAAAAGGAAACAGGTCATGTTAACTTTTTGAAAAATCTCATTTGACTTTTTGATGAGAGAATAACGCATGTTGCACAAAATTCAAAAGCTACAGAATTATACCAGATGATGGTTGCTAACTAAACTTACTGTAATCACGTCAGGGTGTCTGTGAGTCAAACCTTTATGCTGTGCACCTGAAACAGGTACAAAGGTGAACAATTTAATATCCTCTTCCCAGCCACAGTTAATTACCCTCTTCGGAGCAACTCCATTACCAGACCCTCGCCTATTCTAGAACGAATCTATGAGTTTCCTTAACTTTCTCAAAATGCCTTTTATGAATTTACAACAGCTGTACATGCTCACTGTAGACGAGCAGACAAGGCAGAAAGGGTGCAGCACAGAAATTAAAAAGAAAAATCCCTTCTTGGGGCGCCTGGGTGGCTCAGTCGTTAAAGCGTCTGCCTTCGGCTGGGGTCATGACCCCAGGGTCCTGGGATCGAGCCCCGCATAGGGTCGCTGCTCGGCGGGGAGCCTGCTTCTCCCTCTCCCACTCCCCCTGCTTGTGTTCCCTCTCTCGCTGTGTCTCTGTCAAATAAATAAATAAAATCTTAAAAAAAAAGAAAGAAAGAAAGAAAGAAAAATCCCTTCTTGAACCAGAGCAAACAGGTCGGTGCTTTCGCTTGGATATGACTTTTGTGGGTAGATGGTTAACTTGAAAAGACCAGCCGTCGCGGGGCAGAAGGCAGCGGGCTCCGAGGGCCGTCTGGGCGCACAGGCCCCGGGCGAGCGGGCACGCTGCGGCCACCAAGCAGCAACCCGGGCAGCTCCCCGCAGCAGACAAAGGGCCCGGCCGGCGACAAAGGGTCGCGGCCGCGCCTGCGCAGAGCCTTCCCGGAGGGCGCGGCCTCGCGCCGTGCCCCCGCCCCCTGGCGCTGCGCGCTGACGTCACGGCGGCGCCACGGCGGAGTTGCCATGGCCGCGCTGAGCGGCCTGGCGGCGGCGCTGAACACCCTGGCGTCGGCGCTGGAGTCGTACAGGGGTCGGGACCGCCTGGTGAGGCTGGGGCGGAGCGCGGCCCGAGGTCCCGGAGCAGGGCTGGAGCTCAGTGACTGGAAACGGAGGCCAGAGCGGGGCGGGTCGCTCAGGATCCCCCCTCGCCGAGGCGCCCTCCCGGCTGGGCTCCGACCCTGTCCCCTAGCAGTGGACATACAGGTTGCTCCTGCTAACTCATCATGGTGGGGTGTTTTCAGTACCAGCCAAATCCGCACGTTTGGACATTTGGGGTCCGACCAGACCACTGAAGGTGGTCACTGGGTTGCCCCAGGCAGTCACATATGAGGACTCAGGGTGTTGCAGCGCTCCTTCTATGGCTGGACATTGAGGTTGCGACCGATTCCCCTATAATTGGGCACTTAGGTTGTTCCAGTTCACCCTGGCTGGACATTTACAGGCCAGCCAAATCCCTGTTTGAACATTTAGGATCTGACTAGGCCACTTGGTTGGTCCCTGGTTTGTCCCTAACAATCTCATATGGGGATTTAGGATTTTTTTTTTTTTTTTAAGATTTTATTTATTTATTTGACAGGAGAGACACAGCGAGAGAGGGAACACAAGCAGGGGGAGTGGGAGAGGGAGAAGCAGGCTCCCTGCGGAGCAGGGAGCCCGATGTGGGGTTCGATCCCAGGACCCTGGGATCATGACCTGAGCCGAAGGCAGACGCTTACGGACTGAGCCACCCAGGCGCCCCCCGGGGATTTAGGATTTTTAGGGCTCTCCCATATGGCTGGAAGGCCCTTGAAGGCAGATGCTCAGCTTGTTCCTATATAAGCTTTTCTCTCTTATAGGTAGGCATTTAGGTTGTACCAGGAAATGTACCAGTGGTGGGCAATTAGGTCCCATTCAAATCCCTTATGATTGGGCATTCGGGTTTTAATACATTCCCAAGCTGTACATTTAAAACGCAGAGTTTTGCTATTACAAAGTTTTGCTGTTACAATTCTGAAAAGAAATAAGTGAAAGTAACATATAAAACAACAGGAAATAGCAATTTCTGGAAAGCAGATGAAATAAAGATGTAAGGGTGGTGAAGCTGACTCAGTTCCCTATGACCCAAATCACCCATTGAGTGGATTCCTTCTCACTGAAGTAAGTCAAGCAGATTACCCTTGACTCACTGGGCTGAGGCCCGATCACCTCTCCACTCCTCAACCCAGCTACAGACATTGGTCCAGCTGGGTAGATGCAAATATACATGTCCGCCTCATCCTCCTGTCTGCTGGGAAAAGGGGGACCCACGAGGTGCGAAATGGTTGCATTTTCTTGTCTCGGTCACATCTGTCTCCAAAGGGTGTGCCCCTCAGTGACACGAGCCAGCATTCCCTTAGAGTCCACAGTGACTTTGGGACAATAAGGTCACGTTTCTCCATTTGTCCCACCCGCAAGTATCTCTTTAAACTTTCAGCTTTTATCGGAAGTCTGTTGATCTAGTCTGCACAAACCCCCTCGCCCCCCAACTTGATCCCAGGGGACCCACGGCCACGTGGGGGCCGATCCAGCTCAGCCCAAGAGCAGGGCCCCGCTGACTGCTTCTGGTTTCCCACAGATCCGAACGCTGGGGTACTGCTGCCAACTGGTTGGCGGGGTCCTGGTGGAACGCTGTCCAGCCAGATCAGAAGTGGGGACACGCCTGCTGACCCTGTCCTCCCAACTCAGCCACTGTAGGACCGTCCTGCGACTCTTCGATGATGTGGCCATGTTTATCTACACGAAGCAGTATGGCCTGGGGGCAGAGGTAACGGGGTGTGTGGGGCCGTAGTCTCTGGGCAACCGATGTTTTATGGACTTGTCCAAAGGCAGCGGTGTAGGCCGTTTCTTACTTTTAAAAATTTTGCTTGCTTTTGTGAGATGGTCAGATGTTCTCATTTGAATTTAAATGAAAAAATGGCTTAGACATTCACACATTCCAAAAGTCTCCCTCCTACCTGATCCCCTTGGTTTTCCTCCTCAGAGGCAGCTACTGTTGCCAGCTTTTTGTGATTCCTTCACGAGGTGTCCTGTCCGTGCGCAGGCAGATCACCCTGTTTACGTAATTACTTGTGCGGCTGGTACACCGTTTGGCACTTGCTTTTGTCCGTTAAACAGCACAGCTTGGAGGTCGCTCCCTATCAGTCCAAACAGAGCTCCTTCCTTCTTTGTGGCCGCACCGTACTCTGCTATAGAGCTGGATGGTGATTTATGTAACTGATCCCCTGACGGTGGACATGTCGATTTTGCTGTTACAACAGGGGACATTTCCCCAGGGGATGGGCCCGGAAGCCCCCCTGGGCCTGCCTGGCCAAGTTATGCCCCTCCCTGGGCTGCCCCGCCCGTCCCCCCTACCCCGTCCCCTCTCTGAGCCACTCCACGTTCAGATGCACCCACCCTTGTTCCACTCCAGTGCCCAGTGGCCCAGTCACCTCAATCTCAAGTGCTTTCTGGACCTTCCTCCTGTTTTGACGCCCATCTCCTATCCTCGTCTTCGATTAGGGCACGCTTCCCATGCGTCCTCAGAGGACCCTTCCCCGAACCAACATCTCCTCTGCGTCCCTAGACAAGGGACAGGGGCCCTCTGCACCTTGTATGTCCCTTGGCCAGAACAACAACTCCTTTTGCTGGGTCCGGTGTTTAGGTGTCTGCACCCCTGTCCTGTGAGCATCTCCTACTCCCCCAGTGTAGGGCCTCGGCCTCGCTGCTTCTCTGCAGGCCCTAGTGGAAGGAGCACACTGGAGAGGGGGCAGGGAGGGCCCTGTTCTCGGGGGAGGACTGAAATACGCCAAACACACCAGAGGGTCCCAGGCAGGATGGGGGAGCTGGAGTGGGGTTCAGAACCTAGAGGGAGGCAGGATCCCAGCTGGCTACTAGGAAGGAAGGGGACCCCGGAGGGGAGGATGAGGGGTATGGCAGGCAGTGAGGATGAGGAGGCTGAAAGCAGGAAGTGAAGGACACACGGGGGAACCCCCCCCAGCTTGGAGGCCTCCAAGGGGCAGAGTCCTGAGGGGTGGGGCCCAAGAATGCGGCGTGGGCACCAGGCTCCTGAGCCTCAGCTGACCCTGCCTCACTGGATACAGGCCGTGGCTTGGAACTTGGTGGAACTTGGTCGAGGGCTTGAGTTCTGCTATTCGAAGGCCCGAGGCCTGTCCTTGTGTGAGGCGGGCAGGTGGCAGCTTCCCCTAAGTACCTCAGTTTGCCTGTTTGCGGGCCTCGTGACCCCTCTGGTTTGGAGTGGTGACCCAAGCCTTGCAGCCTGGTGCCCACTTACTGTCCGCACTGAGCGTGTTCAGTACCACCCTGCCCTGTCAGGTTGGGGTGCTCTGCAGGGCTCCCCCCCACTGCTCTCCTAGAGCCCGGTGCCAGGGAGCCTGGCCTGGAGACCCGTGCGCAGGACCCGGAATGCTGCAGGGTGGGAAGGCCCCGATGCAGGGCATCCTGAGTTGTCCTACTTGGGAATCATCGGGGAACTTAAAAGATATTCCTGGTGCCAGGGCCTACACCGGACCTAGTGAGGTAGAATCCCTGGGGCTGGGGCTGGGGTTGGGGTTTTGAAGCTCTCCAGGGGATCCCCTGTGCAGCTAAGTTGACAGCTTCTGCTCCACGGGGTGGGGGGTGGGGGTGGATGATGGCCACACTGCTGAGAAGTGGCAATCGGGCCTTTCTTCCTTTGCAGTGGCCCGCCATGGGCCAGCCTGCTGGGCCTGGACGTTGCCCGGTGACTGCCATCTGGCTTGGTCTGGGTCCCTAAGATGGGCCTGGGTAGGTCTGACTCCAGGCCCACGCCCCCCTCTCTCCCTCTCTCCTGGTCCTGCAGGAGGACGACACCTTTGTCCGCTGCGTGTCGGTCCTCGGCAACCTGGCCGACCAGCTCTACTACCCCTGTGAGCACATCGCCTGGGCTGCTGATGCCCAGATCCTCCGCGTGGACTCTGCCCGGTGGTGGACATTGAGCACAGCCTTCTGGGGCCTATCCCTGCTCCTGGGCATTGCCAGGTACGTAGCCTTAATGCCCGCCAGCAGGCCCTAAGGGGCGCCTCCCTAGACCCGCAGCTCTACCAGACTCCTCCAAACCCAGTGGCTTGAAATGGCACACGCCGACTGTCTCACGGCTCTGAGGTCTGAAGTCCAGTGTGGACTCACTGCGCTAAAACTCCAGGCGGGGGCAGGGCTCGCGGGGGGAAAAGCCATTCCTGCCTTTTCCAGCTTCTAGAGACCACTGCAGTCCTTGGCCCGTGGTCCCTCCCCTCCGTCTTCAGAGCACAGCCCGTTTCCCTGGGCACATCTCCAACTCCGACCTTGCTGCCTCCCCCTCATGAGGGCCCTGTGAGGACCCCACGTCCTCCCCCATCTCGAGACCCTTACCTCAGTCCCATCGGCAAAGTCCTTTGTGCCACGTAAGGGAGCATGCTCACAGGGCCTGGGGATGAGGACGTGGATATCTTTGGAGGGCATGATGGTGCGCACTGGCCCCAGGAAGCGGAAGGAACTCCAGGCTGGGGACCGAAGTAGCTGGAGGGGGATGCCTTTCCCCAGGTCTGTGCGTGTGTGCGTAGTCGTCGGCAAATGTCCCCAGGGAGAACAGGAGTTTCCTCACTGGCTCTGTGCTTCTGAAACCCATACTGTTTCTAGAACTTTCAAATAATGGTTTCCTTCCGAACATTTCCCTCTCTGTAAATGCGCTGAGCGCATTTGTTCCGAGCTCCCTGCCCAGAAAGCACGCTCCACCGACTAGGCCGGCTAGGCGCCCCGGTTCCATTACTTTTTAAAAATAGACTTTTATTTTTAGAATTTTAGCTTCACAGCACAGTTGAACCAAAAGTAAAGAGGGTTTCCATAGATTCCCCACCCGCCCCACAGCCCCTCCATTATCAAACTCCCCCAGCAGTTGATGAATCCACGTCGACAAGTCACGGGCACCCCAAGTCCGTGGTTTACATCAGGATTCACTCTGTGTTGCACGTCCTGGGGGCTTGGACAGGTGTGTAATGAGTCATTCCCACTGTTACAGCATCACAGAGTGGTGGCATTGTCCTCAAATCGTCTGTGCTCTGCCTGTTCATGTTTAGAGCTTATACTTTTTCCATCGTGTCTCTCTATTTGGTGTGAGCAAGCGTGAGGGTCCCGACCTGGTGTCCGTAGGACCCCAAGATACCTGAGAGTCACCAGGGAGTTTGCTGAAATGCAGATGCCCAGATCCCGACAGGTTTGGATTCTGCTAGTCTGGGAACCCGGGGCGCAGGAATCGGCGTGTTGCCCCGGTCTTCCAGGTAGTCTGATGCAGACCCACTTACCTCACTGCAGGTGCTGACTTGTGTCCCCATGCTCTCCGGGGACAGGTCACCTGGCCAGGGACACATGCCTGGCTCCAGCATCAGAAGCACTAGATGCTTCCAGATCTTGTGTGGACAGTGCAGGCAGGTCAGGGTCCGAATTAGGAGTCCCCAGGAGCTTCCGAGGCCCAGGCTGGTCTGGTGCTCTGGGAGGGCGCAGGGCGCTGGAGTTACCTGTGGCCGTCGGGGGTGGGGGGCGGCAGCCTCCCCTTGGGCTGGCGATAGGGAGCTAACCCCTGCGCCCCCACCCTGCTTTGCTTGCCTGCTGCAGGTCCTTGAGGATGGTCCTGACGCTGAGGCGGAGGCTGAGGGGCCCTGTGGGGGCCTTCACCAGGTACGACCCCAGGGCTTTGCCCGGGAGAAAGGCTGACTTCCTCCCGCAAGCTGGGGACGCTGCTGGGTTTCCCTAGCCGGAGAGGTGCTGTGAGCTGCCACGTTTCCAGCCTCACGCCTGTGCGGGCCTGTGCGGGGGCCTTACAGCAGCTCCGGGGGCTGGCTCAGATGGGGAAACCGAGGCTGGCTTGAGGCCCCGACCGCCCGCCCACCCCCGCAGCTCCCTGCCTGTCTCCAGGGCCCAGAGGACTGAGGTGTGGGTTTGAGACTTCCCACACCCGTCTGTGCCCTGTTCATGCTGTGGGCTCCCTCGGAGGGGGGTGTGACGGGGACACAGCCCCACCAGTTCTCCTCACTCGCTCTGCTGTCACCTCTTCCTGCCCGTTGGGGTGAGCCTGGGTGTGCCTGGGTCTTCCCCAGCGGCTTCTCTTTGCTCCCACAGCCGGCTGCCCCGGAGCAAGAGGAGGGCCGTGGAGGCCCAGGTCCGGTCGGAGGTGCTGACCCTCCTGAGCAACGTGGCCGATCTGGCCAACGCCGTGCACTGGCTGCCCCCGGGTGTCCTGTGGGCCGGCCGCTTCCCCCCGTGGCTCGTGGGCCTCCTCGGGACCATCTCCTCCCTCCTCAGCGTGTACCAGGCTGGCCGGGCCGAGGCCACCACCCCGTGACGTGGCCGGAACCCCACCGGAGCGCCCCTTCCCGCAAAGCAGAAATCACTCGGGCGGGGGCTGGGTCTGTAATTGAGCGACTCAATGCCAGGTGTAGGGACGTGTAATCCAGAGAACGCACGGGGCCGCCTCGGGCACGGGCCCACGGTGGGCCAGGATGTGGGCAGGGGTGCGGCCCCCTGGGGGCCGAGGGCCAGGGCCTTTCCAACTAGGCCGGGGCTCCGTGGGGGCTCCTCTCAGGGCCAGAGTAGGGGTCGCCGGGCCTCACGTGCAGAGAAGGCTGCATTCCAGTAAAGGCGAGCGGGGGAGCCAGGACGGCGTGCGCCACGCGGGCCTCAGGAAAGTCGAGATGGTGATGGATTAAATAGGGTGTTGGTGCCGGGCCCAGTGTGAGAGCTTATTTCTAAATCACTGGCCCCCAGCCCCTCCCACCTGCAGGCCTCCCGCTCACACGCCCTGTTCCTTCCCGGCAGCAGCGGTGGCGGCGGCCCCGTGCATTTTGAGGGGGGGTGCAGGTGCTGCCTGGGAACCACACCTCCCCAGCCCGCCTTCTGGAACGTGCTGGCCCTGAGCAGCCTTCAGCCAAGGCGAGCAGCTCTCCGCGCCTCCGTCTCGGGCACAGGGGCCACGTCTGTGTCTTGTCCCCCCGGGCAGCTCCAGGGTGCTTACTGTGGCCGAAGCCTTTCACACTCCGCCACAGCTTGGGCCCGGGGCTGGTCTGAGTGTCTAACGGGCTCCAGGCTGCGCTCGTCTCCCACGTCATGGGGATCATGGCGGGATGGGATGTCTCAGGCTGCCCCGTGAGAGGCCCCCGCAGATGGTGGCCAGCCCACGTCTGCCCGTCTTGACGTGGCCTCGGATCCCCCACCTCTGGGTCCTAGCCAGAAAGCGGAGGGCATCAGGCTGTCCCTTACGTCCCGCAAGCACCGGAAAGAGCCAACAAAAACGGCAGTTTGCAGCCCCCGAGGCTTCATGTGACACCCCCCCGCCTCTTGTCCCACAGGGAAGCTATGTGGTGGGAAAAGCTGGGATGCGGGGCCCCTCAGGGTTAACACGGGGTGCAGAAGACCCCCCACCTGGCCCTGGCTGGAGCACCCTGCGCCACCCATCCCTCTGGACGAGGGGAGGGGCCAGGCTGGGTCAGCCTCCCCCTCCCCTTTCGCAAAGGGGGGACGTGCTCCCCTTGGCCCTTAGCAGAGGCCCCCTTCCCAGCACTCAGGGCACCGGGGGGCTGGGGTGGGGGTCACAGCACTACCTGCTTACCTGCCTGGACACTCGGGGAGTTCATACCTGTAAGGCACTTGGAGCACTGTGCTTGTGGGGAAGCCACAGGAACACCCGCATGCGTAACCTGTCTGGTCACAGGTCCCTCGGCAGGCTGGTGTCCCCGTGGGCCTGGGCGGAGCCAGATGCCAGGGCTGGGGCTGTGCTGGGACACACCGGTGGGCAGACGAGAAGCCCCACCTGTAGCGTGGCCACACCCCCTGCCCAGTGCCCTTCCCCGCCTGGCAACTTCAGCCTCTTAGGTGGGGGCAGAGCCAGCCAGTTCCTGGGAGCGGGGCCTGAAAGCGTTCTCCCAGCACCCAGGGAGCACCTGCCGTAGCAAACTCAGCTCCTTTGGGGAGCAGGGAGGCAGATGGGCCTTGGGGATGGCCCTACTCGGGGCAGTGGCTCCTTGCCTAGGAGGCTGGCATCCCAAGAGCACAGGGACAGGCCTAAATGGAAGGGCACCCCGCCAGAGCGGAGAGGACTTGGCCGCATCCCCACACCTCAGCCTCGTCTGGAGGGCTGCTTCTCCCGGGGGCCCCCAGGCGTCCCCACCGCCTCGGACTCCGAATGTCTGCATGCGGTCATCGTCCGGAGCTTCCTGAGGGGAGTTTGTGGGGCCCTGGGCATGGGTGGGAGGGGCGCCCCGCCCAGTGACGTGAGCCACCCTTAGAGCGCTGACGTTTGGGCCGAGGATCCTAAAACAAAACCCCAAACCCCCAAACGAACACTCCTGTCGGCTCATCTTCGATACTTTTATTGCTGGAATCAGGTCTTAAGTTTTAAGGTGGTTCTGAAAGACCCCACAGTGAGGAAATGTTGCAATCATCGTAAAAATAATTGTCGGCTGGACTAAGATTATGGTCACAATTAATGAAGACGTGCACAGGTTCCACGGAAATAAGAGGATCTGCTCAACCACCAACCGTACAAATAAAATCGGGCTCTCCGGGAGTGACCTTGCCCGGACAAGAGACGGACCTACGATGACACTGCCCCGCTGTGTGGCCCCGTGGTGGGACACCCCAGTTCCCTGCCACATGGCCGAGCGGCGGTTCCTTCGACTTGTCACCGGCTGAGGAATCGTGGCGTCTCGGAGGGTCAGACCAGAGCCGGTGGACAGGGGTGTGTGGCGGTGGAATCACCCAGCATGAGAGCCCAGAGATGTTCGCTTCACAACAGGACAGCAACTTAAAGTCAACTTTGCTAAAGTGCTCGGAGATGTCTCAGTACGAAAACGCAAACACTGATCACAGACATGGCACAGAGGAGCTCGGACGCGTCGCAGGACCGAGAGAGGACGCTTCTCCTGGCTCCCCAAGGATGCGCGGATGCTGCAGGCCCCAAGCACGAAGTGGAGGCCGGGGGAGAGAAAGGAGCAGGCAGAGGTTCTCAGAGAGGCCGGGCTCGGCACACCACTCACTGTGCCTGGGAGAGGTTCGGAACTGGTCAGCTGGGGCCCCAGTCCTCCCACGAGCACTTTGGGAGGGATGGGGCTCTGGGCTCAGTGGGGGAGCCCGGGGACCAAAGGCCGGAGTATCCCCATTCCCCCACCCTGCACCCAGGCTTGAGTTCCTCCACAGCTGAAGTGTGCATCTGACCCACTGGCCAGCCCCAGAGCGCTCCTGGACATCCAGCACGATCCCCAGCATCTAGAGCTGTGCAGTGGGATGGGTGGCCCTTGTCCTCCAGGGGAGCTGACAACAGGCTAGCTCAGCTCACTGGACACGAGGCACCTGGAGCCCCCTGCCCATCTGAGGTCTCCAGGCCCTAGGTGACCCCTCTAGCATTTCTCCCTCGTCCACGAGGACATGGCGCCCCACCGCTCCATTCCTTGTACCAGCACCTGCCTGAGGGTGAGGGACACCTGCCCTGGGGCCTTCCTCCCTGCAGCCGCAGGAAATCCCGCCCATCTCATGGGGGCTGGGACCCTCGGGCGAGCTGCCCTGGCTAACGCTGTCGATTGGGCTTCTCCGGACAGGCTGAGCGCTCGGAGAACGGCTGGGGCCCTCGAACCCCACAGAAGCCACCACGCTGAGGTGCCTTTGGAAGGCACCAAGTTTGGCAACAGCAGGTTTTAAAAACCTCTGTCAAATTAAAGTGAGTTATGGTCCGTCCCTTTCAGAACCTACAGAACCTGTCACCTGTGCCACTGGCCGTCCTCTTCATACGCCCTGCCCTGTGGCCTTCTGTCCCCGGCTGGGCTGTGTCCCCCCCCCCCAATCTGCACTCACGCCCTGGCCTTGAAGTTCACCACGAACACAGGTAGGTCTCTGCTTCGGAAGCGGATCCTGTGGACGCCACCTAGCCCCAGGGCCAGCCCCTGCTCCTCAGCCTGGGGTCCGGCCTGTCCTCAGGCATCTTGCGGAGCCACCACTGTCTGTCACTACCTTGGAAAAGTGGCGTGGAGTCGCTCGCTCTCCCTCCCCAGCGGGTGCTACGACTGCACACAGTTCCTTGGGTTAGCTCTGGTTCAACCTTCGATTAAAAACTTTCCTTTTTGTGTTAAAAAAAAAAAAAGGTTTAGAAAGTTACCCAGGCACCACTGCTAATCCTACAGGAAGAGGCTCAAGGCGACGGGCCAGCCCTGGCCCTGACCCTGACCCTGACCCCGACCCTGGCCCCAGCCAGCAGCCATTGGTGGTGCTTTGCTCGGGGAGAGGAGAGGGACTGGGCTGTTCCCCGGAGAGCAGGACAGGGAGGGGTCTGCACCTCGAGCCACACCCCCTCTAGAAGAAGATGACGTCTTCCTTGCTGCTGTCTTCCTTGTCGCCCGGCGTGGTGGGCAGTGGCAAGGGGGAGGGGGGCACGGGGGCGCCCCCGGGCTTGAGGGAGAAGCACTCGGGGGGGACGTCAGCTGGGGCCGGGCAGCAGGGGTCTGGAAGAGAGGGAGTGGGCTGGTTGTCAGCAGCCGCCAGGCACCGCGGTGGCCCTGCTGTCCCGGGGGGGGGGGGCGGGCTCACCCGTGGGGGACACGGAGCTGTGGCTGCTGAGCAGGACGGGGCTCAGCGAGCGGCGGTTCCGGGCGCTGTTCTCGTCCTTGCCCACAAGCTTGCTGAGGAGCAGCTGCTGCTTAAGGTCGAAGGAGGCTGAGGGAGGGAGGGAGGGCACAGCCTGGGCTGTCTGGCCTCGCTCTGGGCACATGAGCAGCCCCCCGTTTGGGCCAGGGACACACCCACCAGACATTCAGCCCCAGAGACAGTGACACCCGACTTGAGGGCCCTTGGAGTAACTCAGCCTCTGGACGAGAGAGCGACCCCCTGACCCCGGAGCCCAGCAGTCCTGGCACACAGGCCCTGTTCCTCAGGGAACATTCCAGGGCTGGCTCCCCTTGGCCAGAGCCTGCACGCTGGCAGCACCCGCGGGAGTCCCTGGGCTTCCTCTACTGGAGGAAGGACCTCTCACTGCAGGGTGCGCTATGCAAGGGCCTCAGTGTCCCCTCTGTGGGATGAGGACACGGTAGAGACCTGGGCACGAGAATCGTCCCTGGGTGGGGGCTCAGTGGGGAGCATTAGCACCCGTTGCCTTGATGTCCCCAAGGGACCCAGGCTCCTCTTTCTGAACTGCCGAGATGTTCTGTCGGCCCCGGTCCCTGTTTGAGGGCCGAGGTGGGAAAAAGACACGGGGTCTGATGTTCTAATTTTCCTTCTTGGGATGAGACCTCCATGTGGGGCGGGGACGGGCCTCTGGAACGTAGCCAGGTGTCGCCAGGTGTGCCCTCCAGAGGATGGCCCTGGGGTCCCACTTTGGTTTGTCCACAAGAAGCCGCTTTGGTCTCACAAAGAGCCCACGACTGGACCTGCAAGTCCAGGGCCGTAGGGACCGGGCAAGCGCCCGCCCCAGCTCCGGCCCGTCCCTGGGGCTCACCTGAGCTGTCCCAGCGCTGGGAGCCCCTGCTCTTGCTGCCCTTGTCCTTGGCGCCCTTGGTGGAGGCGGCCAGCTTGGTGGGGATCTGCTGCTGCACAGCTGCCTGCCTCTGGATCTGGTTGGTGGCGCTCAGCAGCTGGATGGGCACATCGCTCTTGGCCGGCCGGCTCTCGGCGGGGGCGCTGTCCCGGCGAGCCATCTCGGGGCGCTCTGGGAACTCGGGCCCCGGGCCGGCCAGCGGCGTGCTCACCCGGGCTCCTGGCGCTTTGGCGAGCGCGGCGGGCCTTTCCGGCCCCTCCCCGTTGAAGCTGGGAGTGTGGCTTAGCGGCTGGGCCTGGAAGGGCAGCAGAGGATGCATCCCGAAGCTGTTCCTGCGGGGGGGGGCGGGGAGCGCACCCCCCCCACGGGCCCCTCCAAGCCACTGGCCTCAGATCTGCACGGTGCACCCCCGACCCCCGCCGGCCTCGCCCGCTTGCCCGCCCTCCTCTGGGTCCACGGGTGACCTGAGCTCCTAGCCGGGAGGTTGTGCTTGCACACGCACCCCCACGGTGACGCTGGGGCGCGCGCGCCCTCCCCGGCCCCCGCCCACCTCGGCCGGCGAGTCGGGCGGCAGCGCGCCGGGCGCCGTGTTCTGCTTCCGGAGGCGCCGCTGCTGCTCCAGCTGCTCGCGCTCCCGCTCCACGGCGCGCTGGGCCTCCCGCAGCCGCGCCAGGTCGTGCTGGTAGGCGCGCCGCTGCTGCTCCAGCTGCTCGCGCTCCTGGCTCAGCCGCTCCTGCAGCTGCAGCGACTCGTTCTGGCACCGCTGCAGCCGGGCCGAGGCCAGGGCCAGCTCGTGCTGCTGGCGCTCCCGCTCGCGCTCCCAGCGCTGCTGCTCCCCGCGCAGGCGGCCCTGCTGCTTCTGCACGGCGGCCAGCTCCTCGCGCTGCTTCTCGAAGTTGCGCTGGCGCTCCTGCTCCAGCAGCAGGTTCCCGCGCGTGGACTGCAGCCGCAGCTGCTTCTCGTGCTCCTGGATGGAGGCCCTCTGCATCTCCACGTAGCTGTCCTGCTGGGCGATGACCGCCTGCGGCGGCGGCGGCCCGGCTGCTCTTAGGACGAGGCCCGCCTCTCCCCAGGCCCGACCTCAAGCAGGGGCGGGAGAAGGGCATGGTCGCGGCCCGCCCTCCCCCCGGAAGCCCCCCCCCCCCGCCCCGCACCTGGAGGCTGAGGAGCAGCTGCGACAGGGTCTGGATCCGCTGGACAAGCTGCGGAGAGGGAGAGAGACGCTGGCTCCCTGCGCGAAGCCGCGTGCGCTGTGCATGCCCGCCCCTGGGGAGACGGCCGAGCCCCGGGCCTACCTCCAGCTCCAGGGCCGCGGGCAGCCGGCGGCCGGACTCCGCCCCCGGTACCGCCACCTGCGGAGAGCACGGGGTCAAACACAGACAACTAAGGACCTGCTTACTGTTGGCCAGACCCCCGAGTCTCGGTGTCTGGAAAAGGAGCGCACAGGGCGGCCTTCCTGGAGGCGGAGGGCAGCTGTTGCGGGCTCACGTGGGGCGGCTCGGGGGCCAGGCGCGCCGGGCCACAGCTCCCGGGGGTGAAGCCTGTGCGCGGGCTCAGGGGAGCCCGTGGGAGGCGGAGGTGAGCCCGACCCGCAGCCTGACCCCGCTCTGGCCCCGACGCCTGGTAAGCGTAGGCCTCCGGAGTCCGAGGGGCGGGAGCAGCCAAGTGCATCAGCAGGACAGACGTGCAGACTCAGTGCCCACGATCCCCGCAGCGCCCCTCGGCTGCTGATGCGGCCACAGCTCCCGCCCTGGGCCTGTTCCCCCCCCACCCCCCTCCTGGGCACCTCGTACCATTCCCAGGAGGTGCAGGAGGGAACATGGAGGTTCGCCTGCCCGCAGGTTCACCTGAGCTGAGATTCCTTCCCGGTACAACGGATGGCACTGGTCACTACACGTCCTGAGACGGCAAAACTAGACAACCCCAAACACAGAGCTGTCCACACGTGTGAACGCTAACTTAAAGGGCTTGGGCGGACTCTGTGCTTGGCTCGAGAATATCCCAAGGAAGCAACGTACTGCGGGTGGGGCGTCCTCAGAGGCCCCTGGGGTGTTGCTGGGCTTCGAGTCTGGGCTGCTCACCGGGCCTTGCCAGTCTTGGGAGCCGGGGTTGCTGCTGCAGGCCTTCTTCAAACTGCCATCTGAAAAGCCCAATCCAGGCGCATGAGGACGCCGCAGGTCCCACAGGGGTCCGGGCCAGGCCCCCCGCCCCCCAGACCCAGGTAGGAAATTGTGGCCGGGCTGCCACGCGGTATTTGAGACGCAGAGACCGGCAGGAGAGGGAAAGGCTGCCTGGGTGCTGCTGTCGGAGCACGACTGACAACACCCTGAAGGTTCCAGAACCTGACTAGAGGGTTCATACTCGTTGGGGGGAAGCAGCAGCAGAGATGTCCAGCAGCAAATGCCTCGGCTCTGCTGCTGGGAACGTTCCAAGGACCCGCACCACCTCTTGCTGCTGATCTTCCGGAGGGGCCCCGAGAAGCCCCAGGTGGACGCGGCACCACTCACTCTTGCCGGGGATGCTCACAGTGTCGTAGCCCCCAAAAGTCTCTGCCCTGCGGGGCAGGCCCGCGGAGCCTCCCCCGTCTTCCGCCTGGCCGTTGGCGCTGCCCAGCTGCCTGCAGATCAGGGTGTGGATGTCCTCAACTGTGGAAGGAGGTAGGAGGCACCGAGTCACGCCGTGGAGCCAGGCTGTGGGTGTCAGAGCGTGGCGGGGCCTGGGCACTCAGGCCCGAGAAGCCTGCAGGGCGTCGGTCATGGTCGTCGAATCCCCCGGCATGGGACTTGAGCCCCCTGACCCGTGCGTTCCCTAACTTCCGGTACTACAACCAGGACACGCCAACCCTTGTCTGCAGGACAGGGTGGACCACGGGGGCAGCGTGTGGGAGTGGATGCAGATGCCCTGGTCCTCGTGAACAATGCGGGCGTGTGCTTGTGTGTCGGCCGTCATACAGACGGTCTCTGGGGGCAGGGCAGGTCACACAAAACGCTCTAGGACAAACGGGCTTTGGCCAAGTGAGGAGGTGGGGAGAAGAACATTCCAGGCTGAGGCACAGGATACGAGAGGGTCCTCAGGGGGCCAAGAACAATGGCCACTGAAGAAATGCGAGGAAGCAGAAGGTCAGTGTGGCTGGAGGAAACAAGACTGAGCAGACGCAGAGTCCACAAGGGACCCCTCTGGTCTCCGTTCCCCTCACACTGAAGGAAAGGTCTGGAGGGCAGTAGCTGTCTCTCCCGTCTGCCATTGCAAGAGCGGGGCCAGCTGTCCTGCTGGACCCAACGAGCCCGGGCTGCCCGGCCTGCCACACATGGAGGGCGGGCCGTGCACTAGCCAGCGCCCTCCTGTGGCCACTGCGCTCAGAAGCCTCTTCCCGCCTAGACAGGGGGGCAGCCCACCGGGGTTGGGGGGGGCCTGGTGGGTCTAGGAGCCGTCTGAAGTGACCCACCACATGTGGACGTGTGCCTATTTCTGGGGACATCATCGGGGACCCACTTCTCAGAAAGGAGAACCTCCTGAGTGTGGGGAACCCGTCTTGGTGGACTTCAGATCCCAGGGGCCTAAGGTGGTGCTGCCCGGCATGTAGCGGGTTGACAGGGAGAAGGGGCTGCGAGTCTGCCGGGGGTGTCAAAGGACCTTCTGGCTCTAGCCGATGCCGGGGGTGGGGGTGTCAGTGCTGATCCCAGGAGGAGGGACCCCCCCGCAGAACTGTGGGGTGGCAGTGGGCCAGCGCCCAGCGAGGGCCCCCAGGCGTGGCTCCTTACTCTCACTCATGGCCGACTTGAGGATCAGCTCCCCCTGCATGGTCTCGGGGGGATCCCCTCCTCGGAAGAGGAGTCGCGACTGAGGGACATCTTCGAGCCCGCTCATCTCCGCCATCTCCAGGTAGATCTGCTGCTTCTCGCCAAGGCTCTGTGCAATCTGCTGGTCCTTCATGTTCAGTCGCTCTGCAAAGCCCCAGGAGGTGGGGGTTGGCCTTCCGGGGTCATCTTCCCTGGGGATCCGGCTCCCACCCGCAGACCACCCTGAGTCCAGCATCCCGCAGGGCAGGTGAGGGCACGGCCCTGTCTTCTGATCGTTTGCCCTGATTATAAAACCCAAACACCGTGGGGTGTGCGCGAGGACCAGAACAGGCCGGGTTATTAGTGTGGACCTAAGCGAGACTCTTACAAGACTTCGTTTTCTTCTCCTGAGACTCTTCCTTCAGGCATTTAGGCCACACTCCTTACAGGTCTCTGGGTTTTATGCTTTTTGTTGTTGTTGCTGCTGCGACAGCAACTTTCTCACCAGTGGCCGCCCAAGTATATACATCACGTTCGGCGGGACTACTGGGTGCCCTCACTGGTTCCAGTAGTTTTCTAGTTGATTCTATTAGATTTTTTAGGCAAATAATCATGTCACATGCAAAACGCACTTCTGTCCCTTCCCTTCCAGTCACGGTCTTACTCCCGTTTCTCCCCTTGTCACCCTGGAGGAAGCTGCAGGGTGCAGGGAATATGGCGGGAGGGGCTGGCCCGGCCTGGCTCCGGATTTTGGTGAGCGTCCCTGATGGTCCAGTGTGAAGGATGAGGCCAGCTTTTCATCCAAGATGGGAAAGACTATCTCCATAGAGAAAGTATCTATTTCTAACAGTAAGAATCCTGTCAGGATGAGTGATGAATAGACACTGTTGCCCCCTCGGAGACATATCTATGCAGGGCATGTGTTTTATTACCACCGGGCAGAAATAAAGAGTCTGAATGAACACTGCTTTAGCACTGTGCTTCCGGGGTCAGTGGGAGGTCCCTCCCACCCCCTTTCTTTTGGACATTTCTATTAATGAATAACCTCAAACACACCTCTCCCCACAAAGAGAAATAAAATAAAATATATACTACCTAATTTTATGTCCTTATGGCCTAAATGCTCCCTAATTGAAAATGAAATGACTCAGTTAGTGAGAGGCAAGAGGGAGGCTGATTGAGACCACAGAGTCCCCGGGACTGTTCTTGCTGATGACCTCACTGGATTCTCACAGGCATCTCTTAAACCGGGGAGGGGAACGGATAAGCCCAGGGGGTGCATCTTACAATGGAACAGTATTCGGCCTTAAAAGGGAAGCAAATCAACACACACTACAATGTGGCTGAACCTTGAACCATCCGGCTCAGTGAAATCAGCCAGACACAAGAGGAGAAACACGGCAAGACTCCATTTATACAAGATCCCCAGAACTGGCAAATTCATAGAAACCGAAAGATGAACAGAGGTTACGAGGGGCTGAGGGAGGAAGGAACCGGGAGTGACAGCTAACGGGGATGGGGTTTCTTTCTGGGCGCAAGTTGCACAGTCTTGTGATACAGACGACAAGCCACCGAATGGTGCACTTTACGTGGCTGAATAGTATTGTGTCCGAATTACAGCTAAATAAAGTAGTTAAAAACATTAAAACAGGGAGGAGGAAGCTGAGGTCCACAGCCAAAAAGCCAGGGCTGGTCTGGGTCTGCCAGGCTCTGGAGGGAGACTGTGGGGTCCTGTGCTATCCAAGTCCCCTTGGGGTTTTTACGTTTGTGACCTTGGACACCTACGGTGAGCTCCTTCCCGCACAGGGACCGAGGGAGGTGGCAGGGTGTGTGGCAAAGCCAGAGCGTCTGGAAACGGCTCAGGGGCCCCGAGCGCCGCTATCTCAGGACAAAGCGTAACCACAAAGGCTCCGCAGGGCTGCAGGACGTGACATGGGCCACAGCGAAACGCCTGGTTGCTCGGGTGGAGCTTTGCTCCGTGGCCAACCCCAATGGGACAGGACAGAAATGTCGCTGGCGGTCTCCCAGGGCCTTCTCACCATACGGGGGACACGCTGTGGGCACGGAGGTCCAGACAGACTCCCCTTACCTTGGAAGTCCCTCAGCCTCAGGGCGCGGGCCTCGAACACCTTCTTCTCCTCTTCGGCCTCGCTGAAGGGCCCCTCCTCCTCGTCCGGACAGCTGCAGGGAGAGGGGGCAGGTGGGCAACAACGCTTCACGGGCAGGTGGCCTCGGCGATGAGCACTGAGAGCTCTGTTGGCAGAAGCCACTGCTCAGAGCGTCTCGTCCTGTGGGCAACTGAGCTTGTTAATGGCGCGGGAGAAACACGAGGGGGAAGAGGAAGGCAGCCATGGGCATTTATCCTGTCCTCAGGTGTCCACACGTCACCAGCCGTAGATTCCATGCCTGGCCACCATGTGGGGGAGGAGACTGAGGACAGCTCATTTCCTGGGGACCTGCAGGACTGAAACTGAGCATCGAGCAGGTTCAGGAGGCTTCCAGGCATAGAGAGAGGGAGCATCAGGCTGGCTGGGGTCCCCAGGGGTCCCGTGGCCTGAGGAAGGAGGGCAGGACACCATAGCCTCCTCCAACAGGTCCGGCCCCCGGGTCAGGTGTCACTCACTATCCCACTAGTACAGAAGCGTAGAACAGCCTGGCCCCACACCCACTGACTAGCAACATCTGGGCCTTTTTAGCACCTGACAGGGTTGAGCTGTTGCCGGAAGGAGCCAAAATGGGGCCACGTGTTCCCTTTAGCTGAGGATGGACAAGGCACGAAGGCGGAATGAGGGAGAGGAAGAGCAGAGGGATCTCCTGCCTACCTGTGACCTCCAGCACTCTCTCGGGTACTTGAAGGTCACAGCTGCTTTGCCCACTGTCAAAGCCAAGGGCAAAACAGCTGGGGGGAGAGAACGCCCACATGGGCCCTTCTCACCTCTCAACGGCCCTTCTGATGTGGGCCATCCAAGTGTTCCTCTCCTCTTTGGAGCTGGTGTAGATCTCGTACATCTCAGGCCCTTGCAGGGAGGCGCTGATCAGAAACATGGCTTTCTCCTCGTTGGCCACCTCCCTCACAATGAGCTTTTGTAACAAGATGACCGGGCGCTTCGAGTCCTGTGTGGGCAGAAGGTGAGGTGGGGGGAGGACCCCTTCCACCCTGCTGCATCTGAGCAGGTATGGAACCGAGAGTCTGAGGGGAAGGGGGTGGTGGGGGACACGTGTGCCCCCTTTGTTCTCAAATAATTCAGAGCAGAGATATTTGCCATCTGGGGGGGAAAAAGACCCTTTTGTGATTATTTAGAGATGGGCCTTCACAGAGGTGATTAAAGTAAAATGAAGTCATTAGGGTGGGCCCAGTCCAGTATGACTGGTGTCCTACTCAGGAGAGGAGGCAGGACAAGGAGTCAGCTGGGGCCCCCGAGACCCTGAGCCCCGAGAGAGGAAGAGCCACAGAAACGTAAAGGCTGAGACTGGACAGGATGTTAGCACGAGCCCCTGAAGCCTCCCCAGGCAACCAGACAGGACCCCCCGGTCTCAGAAAATTTGACTCCTGCCTTGCCAGAACCTTCTGGGCCCCGGGCGGCAAGCCCCTAAGGGTCCCTAAGGCAGGCAGGACCCTTCGTCTGAAGAGACAGGACACCTACCACAGAGGCAAAGACGTATTTTTGATCCTTTTCTTGTAGCAGCAAGAGCACGTCGGTTAGCAGGACAGCAAGGACATCTAAGGAGAAAGCACAGAAGGAAATGTCTCATGAGGTCGCAGGGACACACGGGTCCTGCCAGGCAGACATAGATGCATCCCGGGGAGGCTTCGGCCCCAGGGGAGGGGTCCTGGTCACCCAGCGCAGTGCCGTGAGGCTCCTCTGGGAGCCTGAGGGTTTCCGTCTACCTATTTTCTCTTTTTTTTTTAAAGATTTTATTTATTTGACACAGAGACAGAGACAGCGAGAGCAGGAACACAAGCAGGGGGAGTGGGAGAGAGAGAAACAGGCTTCCCGCCGAGCAGGGAGCCCGATGCGGGGCTCGATCCCAGGACCCTGGGATCATGACCTGAGCCAAAGGCAGACGCTTAACGACTGAGCCACCCAGGCGCCCAAAAGATGCTGATGTTAACGGACAGGTGAGGATGTTTCCAGAAGCTCATGAAATGAGCCAGGAAACTCAGGGTTGAGTCCCGAGTGCTCTCTGGTCTGGAAGTACACTGTGGATTTTGGAGGTGGGGCTCGAAGGACACCCCGAGCAGTGAGGGGGATGCTCGGGGACACTGAGGTCAGCGGTCCGGGTGGTGCGTCTACCCACACGGGGGCCCTTCAGTGGCTGCTTGTTTGGTATCCCGGGGCCTCTGACAAACCTGGGGTGTCCCGATGCCTGGGGTTTCTGCTCAGGAGTCAAGGGCTCAGTGTGATCTAGTGGCCCTCCTGGGGGGTGCCACAGCGCCTCAAAGCTCGAGAAAGAGGGTGCTGTCTCATCCTTCCCACGCTCCTGCCTGCCTGTCTCATTCTGACTCGGCGTGCGAAGCCCCTTCGGCCCCGGCGCAGCCAGGCCTGCACCCGCTCATGCAGAATGGTGCCGCTGATCCGGGAGGGTCCCCCCCGAGCCGAGGCGAGGGACAGGCCTTTACCTTTCAGGCGCCCCGACGTGGTCTTCCAGCACAGCGTGCCCTCCAGGTGGAGCCGCCGCTGCAGCATGTCCTCCTTGCGGAAGGTCAGCCCGTTCTTGAGCTTGCTGGAGGACTTCAAGTCCATCTTCCCCGCGATCTCCCGGAGGCGCTGGCCCTTCTCGGACTCGCTGACCTTGGCATCCACTTGGGAGATGATGTCCTTGATGAGGTTCAGGGCCTGGGTCAGGTCTCTGTAGTCCTCGGTGCCAGCTGCCACACACAGCAGACTTAGTGCTTCCCTTCGCCCCTTCCAGCAACCCAGTGCAAGCGGACACGCGCCGGGGCCCGGAGGGCTGTTCCCTGAAGCCACTGCGCAGAGGGCCCTCAAGAATCCACCTTCCAACTCGGATCTCCGGAGACGTAAACGCTTCTCCAAATGAAATGCGGCAGCCCGGCCTTTGGTTTTTGCCAAGACAGAGCTTCCACTGAACGCAATGAGAGCCCTGCACAGCCCTGCTCTCCATAAAACACTCCCTCCTCCTCCCAGGGCCCGAATCTCCTGGAGGTGGTGGAGGTATGGTCAGGTGTGGTCAGGCCCTGGCCTCTGAGAACTCTAGGCTGGGCTGTGTGCCCTGTTTCCTCCACCCTCCAGGTTCCAGGCACGTGGCATAAAGGCCATCTCTGTGTCTGGATCAACATTAATGTACTCCCCCGATAATGACCCAGGGCCTTCTTTGGCCCTGCCTGCGGGGTAATAGTGGGCAAGTAAGACCTGGCACCCCATCTTTCTTGGGTCGGAGACCCCAGCACTTAGCACGAACCCAGACAACCAGGGACGGAGCACAGAGGGGCGCTTATCCAATCCACTGCTAAAACGGGGCAGAAAGAGACCGCCCCTCAAAGCAGCAACCAACGGGCAGGGCAGCGAGGAAAGCTACTTTTTTTTTTTTTTAAAGGTTTTATTTATTTATTTGACAGAGAAAGACACAGCGATAGAGGGAACATAAGCAGGCGGAGTGGGAGAGGGAGAAGCGGGCTTCCCGCCAAGCAGGGAGCCCGATGCGGGGCTCGATCCCAGGACCCTGGGATCGTGACCTGAGCCGAAGGCAGACGCTTAGCGACTGAGCCACCCAGGCGCCCTGAGGAAAGCTACTTTACCTTCTGTGTTCTGAATAATGCGCTCCACCAGCACAGGATACTTGGTTATGCGCTGAGTGACCAGAAGGATACACTCCTGCACGCCAAGCCGCCTCACGATGGAGAAGTTGCCGATTTTCTATGACATGGAAAACAAAATGCCCTGTTGGCATCTTAGCTTGTGCCAACCCAGCTGGAGGCTTCTCCCTTTCTCAGCTCAGCAGGACCTTTTCTTTTCAAAAAAAATATTTTTTTTTTATTAAGATTTTTTATTTATTTGCGAGAGAGAGAATGAGAGGGAGGAGGGTCAGAGGGAGAAGCAGACTCCCCGCTGAGCAGGGAGCCCGATGCGGGACTCGATCCCGGGACTCCAGGATCATGACCTGAGCCGAAGGCAGTCGCTTAACCAACTGAGCCACCCAAGCGCCCAGCAGGACCTTTTCAAGCGTTCAGTGGAAGTAGGGCCTTGCCTGCTGTATGTAGAAAGGCCACAGAAGTAAAGGCAGCCCCCCCGCCCCAAGTAAAACCCATTAAGAAGAAACCAGAACCAGCCAGGGAGGTGGGAGGGAATCACCTGGAGAGCTGTGTATCGCGGCTGTGTGCACATCCCCCTCCACCCCGCATATCCACACACGAAAACCCTGACTGACGCTGTCAGAACCCTCTGGAACTACACTGAGCCTGTGCCCGAGTCAGCCCCCTGCTGGCTCCCGATGCACACCTCTGGCTCAGGACCCAGAAGGCCGTCATCCAAAGCCATTTCTCTGCAGGGCGGAGAGCGGTTTCCGGTACCCTCCAGAGCATTCCACACATTCCGCTTCCCTGCTCCCCCTGCACCCACACACTCCAGGAATGCCAACAATTGTGAGAGCCACTTCTGAGCAGGACTGGCAGAGCACTGCGGGGTTTGCGAGCTTCCAGGGCCAACCCCGGAGCGACCCTCTCCCTTTTATGTCTATCCACTGCAATGGTAAGGGAGCAGAATTTGGAAACCTGTCCTTCGTAACTCTGGACCGTTAGTTATTGGCTATCGCTTCAAATTAAAGTCCCCGGGGACCAAGCAGCGCTGACAGGGCGGCTGCAGGACTCACGCCGACAACCAAGTGGCCTTGACCCAGGTATGCTTTCGAGGATGCCGGAGGCAGGGCCTTGCCCAACCTGGTGGACTCAGGCTGGATGCTACGTTTTCGGGTCTGGGCTTTGAGCACCTGCACACTGTTAGGCAGAAGGCAGGTGGGGGTTATTTCGCAGGCCCGGGGGAATGGGGGGGGCAAGTGGGGACCGGAGTGGGAAGGAGGCGAGGGAGGGGCAGATGCCAGGGCAGGTGGCCCCGTGAAACGACACTGTGTCCCCTCGGCAGTCTGAGGAATGAGAGCCAGCAGGCTCCACGCTAGGGCCTGCTGGTGCAGCCGAGAACGAAGGTGTGTTTTGCTTTGTTCTACATCTGGACTTCCCTGATGTGTTCTGAACAGGTTCGTGGTGGGAGAAGGAAACAAAAACCTGAAAATCGCTGTTTTATAACAGGTACCTTATAATCTTAAGCTCTCCAGAGCCTATAGTCCTGTGGAAAACAGCTTCCAGCAAAGAGGATACATGTTTTAATTAAGAAAATTTCTTTCTTTCTTTTTTTTTTACCTTGATCAGGCTTTGAAATTTCTTGTTTTGCTGCAGCAGCAACTTGTAATGACTGACGGCCTCATTGTGGCCACTGCAAAAGACACCGTACTTTTCTTTCATTCTGTCCCCATTTTCGCCGGAGAACTGCAGAAAGACAACAGGGATGTTAGTGGAAAGGAGCAGGGGAACCGCCAGGGAGTGCGCTCGTCTGGCTCAGCTGACTCTGCTAAAACACGTCTCCAATAAACCTGTGCCTCCGCTTTCTTAGAATCTGACAAGCACTCAGGCAGGGAAATGCTTCAGTTCCGGGCGGGGGCGGCGCTCTCGTCACGAGGTACAAGAAGGAAGACAAGAAAACTTTCTAATGGGCTTTAGCTGTAAAACTTCCTGCAGTCCAAGAAGGAGAACGTTTATGCTGAAGAATGTTAGAAATATTTAACAGCTGGGCCCCTGGGTGGCTCAGTTGGTGAAGCGTCTGCCTTCGGCTCAGGTCATGATCCCAGAGTCCTGGGATCGAGCCCCGCATCGGGCTCCCTGCTCGGCGGGAAGTCTGCTTCTCCCTCTCCCTCTGCCCCTCCCCGATAGGACGCTCTCTCTCTCTCTCTCTCGCTCTCTCGCTCGCTCAAATAAATAAATAAAATCTTAAAAAAAAAAAGCAAAAGGGGCATTCTTTTAATTAACTCTAATGAGCTGACTCTGGATGCCTGGAGCGCTCTGAGGTCAGACAAGGGGTTCTGGGCCCCCTCTGTCAACCTTGGCCTAGGCTCGGACTTCGACTGACTCAGAAGTCAATTCAGGGCTGGCACCCTTTACCACAGGCCTGCTTCGAACAGCCAAAAACACGGAGGTCGAACCAGAAAAACAAAAACAAGGGGCCCAGCCGAGCAACCAAAGAGCAGCCCAGAGCGCGACGGTGGCGAGTGTCTGCGCAGGTGTGTTCGGCACTTAGGCCTCTGTATTTCCGAAAGGCCGGGGGCCGCGGTCCGCTAGAGGCTCTCGATAAACAGAGGCCATGTTCTTTTCACGCCTGCATGGAACAGAGACGAGGCAGGGGCTCCCCCAGGCCCAGTGGCCGTGCTGGCACGCCCACCTGCTGCACCAGGAGGTCCCCGATTTTCTGGATGACGTAATTGCGGGCACTGCCCTCCTCCAGGGACTCCTGGCGGCGCTCCTTCAGCCGAGACAGGAAGTGGCTGTGCATGTCGAGCAGCTCGTCCACACACGGGAAGAGGCGGCCGATGGCCTTGCTGCTGAACTGAAGCTCATCCTGCAGGGCCCTGGAGTAGACCTTCAGCATGATCTTGAGAGTCCGGACGTGGTGCACCTCCGTCTGCACCAGCTCTGCGGGGACACGGACCGAAGGACTGACCCGCTTCGCCCCTCCAGCGGCCCACGACGGCACGCGTGCGAACCGCCTGCCCACCGGGCGCCTGGCTGGCTTCTCCCAGCTCCCCACCGAGGCCCTTCCCCTGGTGGTCTTACTGCCTGGGGGGCGGGCCTCCCATCCCCCCGGGGCCCCAGTGTAAGGGAGCAGCAAGGGCTGGAGTGACTCAGGCTGTGTCCTGGGACCTCCCATCCACAAGAGGATTTCAGGCCTGAAGACATTTCGAGGCTGTTTTAAGCAGGAAGATTGTTCTGGTGAACACCACTCCTTGGGATGTGAAACTCACACGCCTGTGCAGGCCAGTGACCAGACCCGGACTATAACCGATGAAAAAGCAGAGTTCAAGTGAAGAATTTAATTCTCTGGTAAAAGGCAGGGACAGATCAGGTTTCGTGTTGGAGTGTAGCTGTTGTTCAAATCAAGGCCTGGAAGCGGCTAGAGACCAGACACAGGTCAGCAGAGCCAGGCCTGGGGCCACCAGCCATGGGGGCCGGACGTGGCCTGTGTTTGCCCAGAGGGTGAGACAACCTGGCAAAGGGCTGCCCGGATGGAAGCATCCAGCCCGGTCGTCTCCATCCCTCCCTGCAGGATCTCTGCCCTGGGCCCGGAGCCCTGAGGCAAAGCATCCATAGGGTTCTCCTTCTGCCCACACCCCAATCTACTCCGGCCTGGGCAGAAAGCTCAGAGTGTGAAACGTGGAGGGACGCAGGGGTCAGTGGACCCCAGTGGAAAGTGAAGACACTGATATGCCAGAACCTTCTCACGGAGCACCGATGAGGGACAGAAAATATCTCCTGGGGCGACAACACTGTCAGTCTTGGGGAATGATTCCCACGGAGAGAGAATCATAAGAACAAGTAAGGGCTTTCGGGAGAGAAAGGCCTCAGATTCCAGTGAGGGTGTCTTGGGCCTTTGTCATCCTGCTTATGGGGGTCCAGAGGCCTGGAGGGACATACGTGGGGCCCGCAACATGGCACCTGGCCCGGGGATGGGCTCTGTGTCCGAAAGCTATGGTTTGCACAGTGACTTGTAACCTCCCATCTGAGGAGAATGGCTGCCCACGGCCAGGGCGTCCACCCTGGAGCCAGTGCTTTGTCATATGCCCCCCAAGTCCCCTAGTCACAGCCACCCCAGACCTGTCTGTGGTCACCACGGATGGCTGGGATGGGCCCAGGATAGTCTTCTCTCTCGGGGTCACCAGCAGGGTCAGGATGAGTCAGGACTGGGCGTTCAGCCACACTCGTCCTCAGGGACAGGTTCTCACAAAGCCCTCCCAGGCCACCTCTTCCCTCACTGGGAAGGCAGGGCTGCCCTGCGGAGCAGGTGGAGTGGGCCCCATAGTCTCAGCGGGGAGCCTGAGGTCTCAGTGGAGCCCAGACTCCTAGGTGCAACCAATCAGAACAAAGGCAGAAAAGAAGCAAGTGGAAGGTCAGTGTGACGGCACAGAACTTCTTACCATAGAGCACATCCTGCCTCTTTACCACCTCTTTCTTTTGTTTCTTTGCGTATGCCGCGTCCACGGAAAGGCTCCAGGACTCAGCCTCGAAATCGCGGGCGTCCGCCTCGATCTCACTCCTCAGCGAGGCTGTGCAGGGGTCTGAGGGGGGAGTAAGAGGTCGCTGCTCAGGGCCGGAGCCTCGCTGGCTCTGGGCCGCCCCAGCCAGCGTCCCATGGACACACGGACGTGGGTCCCAGCCCTTCCCAGTGTGGGTGGAGACCGAGGGACATCCGTGAAAGAATCGAGGGGACTGTACCTTCTACAAAAATGGGCTCGGCATTCGAAGACGTAAGTGAGAGAGAGTCATCAGCTGCCTGCTTAAATTTTAAAAATACAGAGTCGGCTTCATCCATCTCTCCTGTGACTGGTCTAAATAAGAATCATAAAAACAATTATTCTAAAAAATTGAGTTAAACACACACACACATATTCCATGAAAGCAAGTCTATCTGAGAACTTTCTGGATTTCAATATAAACTTTATCACAGATCATTTGTAAAAATTAGGAGACTATCTGTCCACATCACATCAGGACTTCCTCCATCATAACTAACTTCAATCCAACATCCAGGCACGTTCTAAGGGTGTGTTAAATTGTATGCTTCCTTTAACGGCCACCAGAGCCCACTGGAGCCCCTGGACTACTTTCTACCAAGAGTTGGGTGGACACAGCCACACTCAGTCGAGGGTGGAGGGAGAGCCCTTTCTTAGTGGAAGAAGATAATCAGCCCCTTTCCCCACCAGCCCGTAGAAGGACCACCACAAGGACATTCGTTAGCGTTAGGTTTTCCACCCGAACACTGCTGAGTAGAGGATTACGGGAACCACCTCCAAGTCCTTAGAGGACAAGGGTAAGCCATAAATAACGGGATGCTACCTCCATGGCAACCTCAGTGGGACTTCTAGCATCATCTCCAGCACAGACAGGAACCCTGTCCAAGGGCCCTTCGAGAGTATAAAACAAACTGGCTCCCAACGGCCAAGTACGCCCAGAACACACGGGGTTTCAATAAAGAAGAGGATCGAATCTCCGAAGCAAGTGTTAATAGGAATTTCATGGTGTGGCTGGGGGCCAACGAGCAGGTTCACACGGACCTGAGGGTCTCCCTTCGGAGAGCCACATCCTGCTCCCTCCCTCCCTCCCTCCACGGGCACCTGGCGCAGGGCCAGGACCCCACTTACCCAAGCTGCGTCCCCGTTCCCGCCGGGCTGGGTGCTGGCTGCGGACCCCCCTTCTGTGAGACCATCATGCCGACATTCCTGGACAGGGCTGGGCTGCCATCAGACAAGAGGGTGGCCCTCGGGTGTTCCTTCAGGGACGCTGCGACAGAGGCAAACACAGAGTTGGTGCTGAGAAAGTGGGCAGGGTAGCGGAGGTGGCCTGTCCGAAAGCCCCGTTCCGACTGTGGCCGCAGCACGGACAGGATCTTGGAGGTCAGCAGCTCGTTATCTAGAAAGACATTCTCGCTCCATTTCCGAGGAAAAGAGCTGCAGAAAGACAGCTCGGGGTGGCCGCGGAGCGTGCTGTCTCTGTCACCGCTTTTGGAATGCGTGTTCCCCATGTTCACGATCGCGGCTCCGAGACCCAGCGCGCTGCGAGGCCGGGCCGTGCCGTTTTTATACCTCCGTGTGATCCTTCTAGAAATGTAAAGCTGCGTCTTCTCCTACTGTATTGGCTGAGACAGCGGGTCTGGAGGGCAGGAAATTGGTCCCCACTGTGACCATTTAGTTGGAAATCGCACAGTATCTTCTTCTTTGGTAAAATAACAACAACAACAAAAAATCCCGACACCCCTTCCATCTTGGCAGGGGGTAAAAAAGCAGAGAGGAGTTTAGATTCACTGTCAATAATCTAAGATCACTAAATAGGGAGCTCTGTGCTTGGTGTGGCTCATGTCGACATCTCTCCCTCTCTCTCTCACACACACACGACTGTAATTAACCTGAGATCAGATGTCAGGATGACTCTGAGACCCAGAGACCACAGGGCATGATGTACGGCCACATACGCCCCTGATCCTAAGTACACTAATAGAATCTGAGCACCACAGTGGACAAGAGGGGCTGATCCTATTTTATACAAGGATTGTAAGCCAACCTAAAACACATCGGGGGCTCCAGAGGGTTCTTCGCACTCCTCCGCTCATTAAGGTAGGAACTGAGATAGTGGGACGCGTGTATGCTCTGATCACCTTTCCCTCTGATGGAAAGATGAAACTCAGAAAGCCAAACTGTCACCCTCTCCAATTTGACAAATCCAGTCTGGTTGGGACGCTCTGCCTGGCTCGCTCATTCTCAGGGTGAAAACCACACTCGAAAGCGCTCCTCCAGGCAAGGATAACCAGCAGCGTTAGGACGAGATCTGTCCACTAGCCTTTCCGACCTGGCTCCTGGGTCCCCAGTGCACCCACCCATTTCTGTCACACAGGTAAAGCAGTGGGGACTGTGGTTCTCTGCAGCATGCAGACCATCACCTTTGGGGGCGGGGGTAAGGAACCAGCACTTGAGGAAAATGAATGTACTTCTCTCAAGAGCTTTTCTGGGGAGTGGGATTCAACATTCTGAGAGGTTTTTTTTTTTTTTTAAAGATCTTATTTATTTATTTGAGAGAGAGAGAAAGAGCACAAGCGGGGGCGTGGCAGGCAGAGGGAGAGGGAGAAGCAGGCTCCCCCTCGGAGCAGGGAGCAGCAGGGCTCGATCCCAGGACCCTGGATCATGACCTGAGCCGAAGGCAGACGCTTCACCGACTGAGCCACCCCCAGTCGGGGCCTCCCGACTTCTCGTGAATCTTAAACGATTTCAAAATAAAAAGCTGCAGCTGATTCTCAGTATTCACTGTCACGATGGTCCGTAAAGTTGCAGTGGATACTGAAATTAGCCAGTGCCGCATCACTGCTCCTAGCGGAGACCCAAAGTTGTGCTTCTGGGAGCTTCTGCCTACACTTCCATCAACCCATCCATACATAACCTTGTTTAATGTGTGTTTCTCTCGAAAGACACCTTATTTAATATATACTACTGATCTATTACCATTGAACTCATGGTCACTAGGACTACAACACAGGCCTGAATGGAGCGTATCTAACACGTGGCTCTTCTCTGTCCGAGGCTTCACAGCCTTCTTGCACGTAGTAATGCCACACGGCCCTTCAGCACAATGCTTGGGGGCCACTTCAAGCAGCCCAATCACCCACGGAGAGCACAAAAATGTGAAGAACATGGCATTAACCACACTGCAAACAGGACACTTGTCTACAGTACGAGCTGGAACAAGAAGGCAGGGTGTGACCTTGTCTGGCCTCAGCTGGCAACATGCATGTCGGGTGACTCATATTTTTCACTGCACATGCCTGCACAGGACCGTGACGGCCCCACGGGTGTGGATCTGGGGTCACAGATAAATTTTAGTGAGTAGGTACGCTTGCAAATACGGAATCCGCGAATAAAGGAGGACTCACTGTACAAGAAAGGTGTCAAGTGAGAAATTATCATGATGTTTTAGAACGCCCTTGTTTGCTCAAATACCTAAGATATTTCTTTAGAGCACTGATAGTCTTTGCATTGCTTTATGAATTACACACATATGCCCCAAAAGGATCCGAGCTGGGGGGGCTTCTTACAGGTAAACATAATGCCGTTCATTTGGCAGCCGTATGGCCTCCTGGGAGAAATCGTTTTTTTTCCCTGGAGGGTCTAGCCACCACCGCTCCTCTCAAACTACTTAAGACTTTTTAAATAAGGGGTGGACAATCACTAATCGAGTCTTTCTGTAACTTGTACACAAGTTGGTGGCTCTGGCACAGACCAGCCGTTTCAACCATGTCTTTCTATTCTCTATTTTTGATGATCTGACATCTGGGCCCTTGCTGACCCAGGAAAGCCTGCCCCTCCCAGGGCTGGCGGATTCCTAGAGCTCAGGAAGGACTCACTTGCAAGAGCACCTTTCACATGCAAACCCGCCAATCCAGAGCCCACACTCCGAACCCCTCCTCTGTGGGGCTCTCGCACTCAGGGCCACCGTCCCCTTGCCCTGACTACCCCCGGGGCAGGTGCCGGGCATTAGGGACAGCCCCTACGCCCCAGAGCCCACTGAGATTTTTCAAACTAGCCAGTCCTCAGCCTGTTTACTCTGCCCCACCCGTTCCTCGCCGCAGAAACCACAGCAAAGGCTCTTGCCCACGTTTTCCCATCATGCCCTCTGGCTCCTGACTGACCCCAGGGCCTGCCCCTGTGGCCCTCCGTGGCGTGCCCTGCCTCCCACTCCGAGAGGACTGTGAGTACAAACTTTTCCTCTCCTGGCAGTCATATGCATACCGGCACGGTTTACCATACCTGGCTAAAGCAAATCCTGGATACCCTCAAACACCAGGCACCCAGGGGCCTAGAAGTCTGCCTGCCAGGGCTGGGAGCTCGACCATCTTCCGGGGGCAATTTTCCTACATCTAGACACAGGGAAATCATGGGACGGCTGGTGGGAAGGCACAATGGCATAGCACTCTGGAAAACTGGTGGGTCTTCAAACGGTTAAGCAGAGTCACCCTCCGCTCCCGTGGTTCCACTCCTGGGAATATGCCCAAGAGAAGCGATAAGGTATCGTCACACAAATACCTGCACATACCTGCTCCCAGTAGCATAATTCACAACAGCCCAACATGGAAATGACCCCAGACGTCTGCCAACCGAAGGACAGAGAAACACAATTGTGGTCTGTTCATACAACGGACTATTATTCGGCCATAAGAGGAAGGAAGCCCTGATTCAGGCTATCATGTGGACGAACCTAGAAAATATGCTGCGTGGCAGAGGGCCGACACAAAAGACCATAGACTGTAGGAGCCCGCCTCTAGGAAATGGGTGCAGCAGGTGAATCCAAGGAGACAGGAGGTAGTCGTGTAGGACTGGGGGGGAGGAGAATGGGGGGTGATGGCTAATGGGTAGAAGGTTTCTCTTGGGGGTGCCAGGGCCCATCGTGGGGACTGTGGCTCTACGAAAAGCCAATGCATGGCACACTTAACTGGGGAGATCATACAGTATGTGAGTCCCAGCTCAGTAAAGTTATCAAACAAATGAATAAACCCCATGAGGCAGAGCCATCTTTCTGCAGGAGCAGAACCCAGCGTGAGCCGGTCCTCTGCCCTTGGCTCTCAGAGCGACAGGAATATGTACTCATCCTGCTATCATGTTTTCTGAAAGCCGGCAGCCATGGGACAGATGGGCAGTGGCGCGGTGCTGGGATCCGGGCCACGGCGCGGGGTTCGGCACGTGGCCGCCTAGCGCCGTCTGCACCCCCACGAAAAGTGGCTTCAGAGCCTAATTAGCACCGTCTGCCCACTGCTGAGAAGGGGCATCGATCGGCGTGCACCGGGCCTGCCGCAGAGACTATCTGCCACAGAGCCACTTCTGCAAGGGGACCCAGGGAAGAGGCAGGGAAAAAAAATAAGAAGCAAGCAGAGAAAAAAATGGAAAAAAGTTCTTTGCCCGAGGGGGGAAAAATACACGCTGTTCTTGGGGCGCCTGGGTGGCTCAGTCTGTTAAGCGTCTGCCTTAGGCTCAGGTCATGATCCCAGGGTCCTGGGATCGAGCCCCACATTGGGCTCCCTGCTCCGCGGGGAGCCTGCTTCTCCCTCTCCCTCTGCCTGCCTCTCTGTCTACTTGTTCTCTCTCTCTCTCTCTGTCAAATAAATAAATAAAATCTTAAAAAAAAAAAATACACGCTGTTCTCAGCAACACAGACAGCCGCCTGTTCTCATGACGATTATTCTTGAAAACCTATTTTGTCTTGGTGTCTTGAAGAGTGGTCTCTGTGGGCACTAAGGACGACTAAGCCTGAGTGACAGGTATCAGGATCCCACTTACATATCCCGGGGATATCGTGGGCTCGGTTCCAGACCCACCGCAATAAAGTGGGTCACAGGAATTTTCTGGTTTGCCAGTGCCTGTAAAAGTTATGTTCACACTATGCTGTAGGCTATTAAGTGTGCAACAGCATTATGTCCAAAAAGACAGTATCCATCCCTTAATTAAAAAACACATTTAAAAAAAGATTTTTATTTTTAAGTAATCTCCATACCCAACGTGGGGCTCAAACTCACAACTCCGAGATCAAGAGTCACATGCTCCACTGACTGAGCCAGCCAGGCGCCCTCAAAAACACTTTATTGTTAAAAAAATATATTTAAATTTATGTATTTATTTGAGAGAGAGAGAGTGCATGAGCGGGAGGGGCAGGGGGATGGGGAGAATCTGAAGGAGATTCTGTGCTAAGCACCAAGCCCAACATGAGGCTCAATCTCATGACCCTGAGATCAAAACCTGAGCCGAAACTAGGAGTCGGCTGCCCAACTGACTGTGCTACCCAGGCGCCCCTTAAAGAAACACTTTATTGTTGGGGCGCCTGGGTGGCTCAGTTGGTTAAGCATCTGACTCTTGATTTTTGCCCAGGTCATGATTTCCAGTCATGGGATCAAGCCCTACATTAGGCTCCGCGCTCAGCAGAGTCTGCTTGGGATTTCTTTCTCTTCCTACTCCTCTGCCCCTTCCCCTGCTCATGCTCGCGCGCTCTCTCTCAAATAAATAA